TCTAAGTGTTTATTTAATGTTTGTGTATTGATTGCAAGTGAGTGCAAATAGAGGTTAAAAAACATAACAGTAAGAATAGGATGAACAGTTTTCAAAATCTTTCTTCCATCTTTGAGTTTTTTTCTGCACCCAATTATCAAACTAATTGGAATATCAAACAAAGATAACAGCAGTCGATTTGAAATGCTTTGAAATTGTCATGAAACGTATTAAGGGATATTTATCTTAACTGCTCCCTTTGGGAAAATATTATTCACCTCTGTCAAAAAATAAAAATTCAACTTAAGTAGCCAGACTTAAGCTTGATAACAACCAGTGATGTCATCAGGCTATATGGGTTATATCAATGTGGGATATTGGTCTGATTTTGACCAAAAAATTCCAATATTAGCAAACAGATAAAATCAGTCAGCTTCTGTTAAAGTTTAACCCATTGCTTAATATAACATGAGTCAGTTGTTCTCTGACCTTATGTTGTTGAATTTTGTTCTCTGTTTTGGTAATATTACTTATTAAGCCTTTACTTATGAAAGCTTGTATGATTTGAGGTAATATTGTATCAGGTCAATATCAGTATTGGTCAGTTCTCAAAACTGCAATATTGATATCGTATCAGAAATGAAAAAGTTCCCTAATAATAACCGCAGGAGTGAAATCCTAAAAACAGTTAGATAGAGCCTGTCCAACAGAATTACGGGGAGTCATGGCCTGTGTGGTTAGCCTTTGTCCTGTGAGCCTATCCCAGAAAGCTCCAATGGACAATGGCAGCTCGCTCCCCCCTAAGGAGATGAGTTAGATGCAGAAAAAAAAAAAATGTTGAAATGCACAAAGTTAAAATAATCAAGCAAGATAAGAAAAAGTAAATAGATGATAGCCTGGAACTGCATAACTGAAGGTTAACTGAAGCACATCAGCCTCTAAGGAAAGGAGATCTACTTTATACACTGCAAAAAATGAAATCTAAATATGCCTTTTTTTTTTCTTTAGATAGTTGCATTTTTTCTTGGCTTAAAGAAGTAAGTAAGACACTTTGACAATAAAACAATTTACATTTAAAATAAGAAAAAACAATTGCATTGTCTTATTTCAAGTGCATATTATCTATTATCTTATTTTAAGAGTAAAAAAAACTCATTCCATTGGAAAATTATCTTATTTACCTGAAATGAATTGATGATTTTTTTTTTTTACATATTTCTAGATCGTTTTTCTAGCGTTTTATTTTTCAATTGCTGTAAATTATCCACTTTTCCTCTTCACATGCCTCATAGTGTTTTATGTGATTTTGTTTTTATCTTTTTTTTTATTTTTATGCATTCTGAGCAAAATGTTCATAAAAATATAATTGGTTGAAAATGACAATAATGATGATTGATTCTCTATTACCTGCAGATATAGCTACTTCTTAATTAAGACTGTTTTCTTTTAAAGTGTCCCGTTTTACCAACATAAAATAGATTAGAGTTTGTTTAAATTGACATAATGGGACTAAAACTGATTTACAGGCTAAAAACTAACAGCTGAAATGGGTCTCAATTCATAGATCATTATAAAAAATATTTGTCATCACCCAAAAGGAATGGAAATACCCTCAGTAATTCTGAATGTTGCACTCCAAACACATACCGGCCCAGGATCTCCTTGGGTTCGTACTTGTCGTAGAACTCCTGTGCTCCCACCCAGTCTGGGATCTCCTCCTCTTTGGTCATGATGAAGCAGCGCTGGTTCACGTCCGAAAGGTAAGTAAAAGTTTTCCTCTTATACGTCAAAGAGAGCTGCAAGAACTAAACATGCACAAAACAACACTGAGGTTTTTAATGTATGTGCATTAATGCTCAATACCTTCTGATGCCACTAAATTCCATAGTTTTACTGCAGTGGAATGACATCACACAGACTAATTTCCTCAAACTATATTAGTACAATTATTGGCATAATCAAATACCGGAGCTAAGCTTGATATTTGTTTTTGATCTATGTGTTGAATAACTTTTAGTCACTTTTTGCATCTTATTTCTGAGATAGACTAATGACCTTTTCAATAACAACAACAATAGCATTTTGCCAATGTTTGCTAAATATCCAGTCCACCAAGAGACACTAGAGAATCAGGCACTGGGTGGACTGGGTTAGTGACTTCACATTTCCTTTAAATCATGCAGAGGCAGATTTTATCAGCCGTTCCTCTGAATAGAAAACACTAGAGAACATTTCATTCAGAAACAGCTTAAGAAATAAATTTTATTTCCTGTTAACACAGAGCTATACACTCACAGGCCACTTTATTATGTACTAGTAACGGGTTGGACTCCCTTTTGCCTTCAGAACTGCCTCAATTCTTCGTGGCATAGATTCAACAAGGTGCTGGAAGCATTCCTCAGGGAGTTTGGTCCATATTGACATGATGGCATCACACAGTTGCAGCAGATTTGTCGGCTGCACAGCCATGATGCGAATCTCCCGTTCTACCACATCCCAAAGATGCTCTATTGGATTGAGATCTAGACTGTGGAGGCCATTTGAGTACAGTGAACTCATTGTCATGTTCAAGAAACCAGTCTGAGATGATTCCAGCTTTATGACATGGCGCATTATCCTGCTGAAAGTAGCCATCAGAAGTTGGGTACATTGTGGTCATAAAGGGATGGACATGGTCAGCAACAATACTCAGGTAGGCTGTGGCGTTGCAATGATGCTCAATTGGTACCAAGGGGCCCAAAGAGTGCCAAGAAAATATTCCCCACACCATGACACCACCACCACCAGCCTGAACCGTTGATACAAGGCAGGATGGATCCATGCTTTCATGTTGTAGACGCCAAATTCTGACCCTACCATCCGAATATTGCAGCAGAAATTGAGACTCATCAGACCAGGCAACGTTTTTCCAATCTTCTATTGTCCAATTTCAATGAGCTTGTGCAAACTGTAGCCTCAGTTTCCTGTTCTTAGCTGAAAGGAGTGGCACCCGGTGTGGTCTTCTGCTGCTGTAGCCCATCTGCCTCAAAGTTCGACGTACTGTGCGTTCAGAGATGCTCTTCTGCCCACCTTGGTTGTAACGGGTGGTTACTTGAGTCATTGTTGCCCTTCTATCAGCTCGAACCAGTCTGGCCATTCTCCTCTGTCCTCTGGCATCAACAAGGCATTTCCACCCACAGAACTGCCGCTCACTGGATGTTTTTTCTTTTTCGGACCATTCTCTGTAAACCCTAGAGATGGTTGTGCATGAAAATCCTTGTAGATCAGCAGTTTCTGAAATACTCAGACCAGCCATTCTGGCACCAACAATCATGCCACGTTCAAAGTCACTCAAATCACCTTTCTTCCCCATACTGATGCTCGGTTTCAACTGCAGGAGATTGTCTTGACCATGTCTACATGCCTAAATGCACTGAGTTGCCGCCATGTGATTGGCTGCTTAGAAATTAAGTGTTAACGAGCAGTTGGACAGGTGTACCTAATAAAGTGGCCGGTGAGTGCATGTATAGAGTTTGCTAAATCAGGACAGGATTGACACTGAAAGTTGTTTTGTTTTTTTACACTCCAGCATGAAACAAAAAGCAGTTGGTAAAAGGGTCATAATCCATACTGTTAAGTAAGGTTGAGGCTCTGTGGTACTGTGGGCCCAGTTCTCTTCCAAGGCCCTGGGAATTTGGATATTTTAAATACAGATCTTTGTTGTAAATACTGGTCTTCATTGGAAAATTTAAAATAAATCATGAATTGCTCTGGAAATCTTTGGCTAAATGAACACAAAGGATTCAGTGGAGATTCAACATACTTATCCTGAAGCAAGATCATTCCCAGGGTAAAATCCTTTAAGAATGTGGTGGTGTTAGCTGAAGAGAATTTAGGAGTAAGCGCAGGACTTTGGTCCAGTGATTGTGAGTGGTAAAAGATCCTGCTTTGCGTGAGTCTACCTTATTAAACGTGTAGAAAACTATCCTAGTGGGAAAAGATGCTTGTACAATGTTCTTTTTTACCTCCTACCTATAAATCAAATACGTTTGCATCCTCATTTTTTAGTGTGGGATCATGTTGGTATTGTTTAAAACTTAAGATTCAAATTGTTTTTACACACAGGGTGGAGAAATTGCAAAACAGAGTGTTAGACCTGATTTACTCAACGGTTGATTTGATTGGATTTCTAGTCTGATTATTCATGCGATTTTAAGCAGTGTCCATTGCAGTTAAAATCACAACCTAGATTTATATTATAACCCCACTAATATATATATATATTTAATTTTCCTGTATAATCTGTTCATAGCTTTCATATTTATTTTATAGCCTTTTACAATTACTACGTTTATATAAACCATTTAGTTTCTTTACACGTTTATATATTTATATCCTGTATAGCACTTCTGGATAGATGCAAACTACATTTTGTTGGTTTGTACCTGTGACAGTGTGTGACAATAAAGTTGAATTCTAATTCTAGATTTACCTCAAAGCAGTGTTTGAATGAAAGGATCCCTTATGAATCTTCATCATGCTCCAATAAAATCAGACAGAAGAAAACCCCCTGCTCACTCACCGTCTTTCAGCGCCTGCTCCCACAGAGGGACTCCATGGTTAAAAGTGTCCTGTCTGTTCCCAAGAAGTAAAAATCAACCACTTAGAAATCCACTCAGACTCTAGTGCAGCAGGAGCGCTGTAGAGTCACTAGTGCCATGTTGTAAAGGGTGAGCTTTAATGTCAAATGCCAAAAATAAATGGGTGCTTCCGCAGCAACTTCACGTGCAAAAAAAAAAAAAACATCCAGATTACCAAACATACATCCAGCAGCTCCTTCTCTCACAGCTAAGGCTTTAAGACACACTTCCCATGTGTCGCTTGCGTTTAGCACCGAGACCAGAGTGACACAACAGGTGCTGGAGCCCTGAGGTGTCTCTGCTTCAATGTTCCTAAAATCTAATTGAAGAATGTAGCAGATAAGAATAGAAACAGTTCAGTGTGGTGTGGCTGAGGAGGCAGTGAAATCAAACACACCAACGTCATCATCCATGTGCTTTATTTGCTTTATCTGATGAAACCATACGATGAGAACCAGCAGCTTAATTCTACATATTCTGTGTTATTTGAGCTTTTAGAATAAAAGCGCTGCTAATGAAAAGCATCATCTAAATTACACTCAACTCAAAATAATGACACCAAAATATATAAACAGTATTTATAAGACTATGATTACAAACTCTGCAGCTGTGTTCTCACAACAAAATGAGGTTGCTTCAAATCATTTGTTTAAATAAAGCATGTTTATTGGTGGTTTGATCCCTTGAAGATTACACCCCACTAGTATCTGGTGAGCTGACACATGATCTCAACTCTGCAGGACTTTTTTTCTTCATCTCAAGAAAGACCTAAAGAGGACAGAAAGACATTTCAATGAGATTGTTTAAAAAAATTTAAAAAGAAGTTTTATAGAAAACCTGACAACACATTAAAAAAAGCACACTTGACACTACTCCCCCTAGTGGTCACACTGAGTACTGCTCTACTATCCTTCATTCTAATGCTAAGTCATCCACATTCTATTTTACCTTCTGCTCCTCATTTTCTAGTCCCCTTCACAGAAAAAAAAATAAAGGGAAAGAAAGATATAAAATATGTGAGTTTTTAATACAACTGAAACAGCTCACCATCTCTGAAGTACCTCAGATTCACTGATCAGTTAAACATTTCTGTACAATAGAGACTTGCTATATTTAGGTTACTAGGATTAAACTCTGCAGCAGGTTTCTCACAACATCTAGACAGAAGGATAATTCAATTTAAATTCGGTCATTATATTCAGAAAGTAAAACTAACACTTTATGGATGCATAACACTGACTAATACATTTTACTTCTTGTTTTCTGTTTACTTGAGTTTATTTGGTAATTTCAATTTAGAAAAGTAGACTACAGAGGACAAAAAAAATGCATTTTAATCCATAAGTATTGTGGCTTTCATCATAATACGGAAGTTCCTGATTTGTTCTTGCAGGTCTTTCCCACAGGAGATGACCATCCAGAGTGATGTATTCAAGAGACAAGTTAAATCTTTATCAATCCAACAAGTGGGAAATTTCTGTTGTTTTAATGAAAAGTTAAGTTAAAGGAAGATATGTTGTAGAAAGGAGTGTAGGAGTACAAGAGAAAGCCCCAGTGGAGGTTTTTAAAGCACATGAGTTTCTAAAGTTTGGATATTGACAAGTTAAAGGCTAGACAGAGCTTCAAGGGACAGACGTATCCAGGACATGGTCTACAAACGTCAGGGTTCTTTGTTTTAAGCCACCTCTAAACCCCACGCAATGTCAAAAGCGCCTTTTGCAGACTAAGGAGATCAAGGACAAGAGTCTCTAGAGACAGAAAAAGGGAGAGGCCCAGAATCCAAGCTGCTTGAGTTCTAATGTGACATTTGAATAGCCAGCTGTGATTTATGGAGCCTTATCTACATGTGTTGGTCCACCTTGTTTCATTAAGTCCAAAAAATATGTCTATTAGTTTTGTTTGGTTTTTTGCTTTGTGGTTATTTATTTCCCTGCAGTACTTCTTTTGACCTCACTCTGCCAGAATTAACAATACTGTCATAGATGACCATTATGCCAATGTTCTTTAATGGGCTGATAAATAAAGGTTGATTGACCAAAACCTCAGAGTATGTAGAGGAACAGTGGAAAACAGCAATAGAGATTTTTTTTTTTTTTTGCCAGAGGAAAAGACATATTACAGAAAAAAAATCCTATTTTATTGATTTCTTAGAAAGTAGAAGAAACCTTAATAGTTTAAGTCTACACGTTAGGCTTTGAAGATTTATAATTAATGCCTAAAACACATATCTCCTGTGGCTTTAACCTCATGAAGGCACTTAAAAATGTTCAAATCCTTGAATATAGTTTTAACTAGTTTTACATCAATGCACTCAGAATCAATGTAAACCAATAGAGCGGATAAAAAGAAATTCTGAAATAAAAAGCTATTTAAAAAATAAACAAAAACTCTGACAAAACCAGAAGTAGATAGTCGAGAAAATGTTTTTCTATTTACATTTGTATATGTAAACTTACCATTAGCAAACCTGCACTGTTTGAGCACTTCGCCAAATCCCTCACAGAGCTTCAGGTCACTCTGGTTCTGAGCACATTCCAGGAACTGCTTCAGTTCATAGGAGCACATCTGCGTCTGGTCTGCCTGCTGCTGTCCCTGCTGCTGGTACGGCTCCTTATGGACACAAAACACACAATGATGGTTGACAGATCCTTCATTAGCAGAAAACAACTTCAGGCATCTTGAGTTAAGACGCTGGTCTAAGTGTGTAATAAAAGCTCTGATGGTGATCAAGCAATTCATCTAATTCTGATATAAACTAACTGGTGGTCTTTTCTGACGAAAACTTGGTTTCCTTATTTGAACTGGCTCAAGCGTTTCTCAGGCCGGTAATCTTTAAATGGGTCATTCTTATTTACAGTCCCAAATCCTTATTGTCCTGGTCCAAACAAGAGCTTTACCTGTCATGTTCATTCTATCACAACTCTTTACTGGATCTTTAATTACAGTCCTGCCAGCTGTCTGGTAAACAAAATAATCTTCTCCAACCCTAGTTTCACAGAAGGCTGCTCATCAGTTTACCTGATATGTGACGTCAGGCCTGGCAGCCTCAGAGCTGCCTCCGCTGAAGGCACCAGTCATGGCGTGACCGAGGGTGTGTCCCACTGCAGAGCCCACTGCCACGCCTGCGGCTGTCGTTGCCATCTGTGCGAACATGCCAGGCTGTCTGGGCGCTGCGGCTGGCGCACCAACAGCAGATGGAGCGGCCTGCATGGGGACCGGAGCATGAGTTGGAGGTGCCGCCCTGGCCATTGGTGGAGGTGAAGGTGGTGCCCGGCTGTGGAAAGTAAAGTTCAATTTAAAAGGTCAGGGAAAACGGCGTCAACAAAAGGCCAAACTATGCAGTAAATAACTCATTTTATATCAACACCTTAATCCTTAATATAGGAACAGAAAAGTTAAGCAGCTGTGTATATTTATGAAATAAAAGAAAAATATAATTCTAGAGCATTAAATTAACAATTTTATACATCAGGTGTTTTAATAGTTTCCCTTTAAATAGGAATAATTTTAAAGTGCAAGCTGTGTTGAAATCTAGGCTGATGTTTCCTTAAGGCACTGGCTGGAGGTTTCCTCAGGTCACATTATACAGCAGAGCTGGGATCCCCACGGTCACTGCTTATTACATTGTTATACACTTCGAAAATTTTAATCCTCATCAACAGCTGTTAAAGAATCATATCTAACTGCATACATCAAAACAGAAAGCTGTTTGAAACATCAACAGTATGTTAGGTCTGGTCCTTATGTAGCCACTGTTTTGGGCCAAATATTTGCACAGCCTAAAATTTATGCATTACATTACATATGCTATTTTGTAATTTATTAGAATAATTTATTTTTTTTTTTATTTAACAATCAGCTCACCTTTTCTACTTTATTTTTTTCAGCTACAAGAATGATTTTCCTTATTTTCAGTACAGAGGGTTGTTGTTTATCTTAAAGAAAATTGACCCATAACCTGGAAATATTTGCTGGAAATTCAACAAAATAAATATTTGAGACACATCGATGTAATATGTCTATTAAAAACAACAGACATAGCTAGACCAGAAGTTATCCTGATACACTTAATAGTTGACCTTTTTAAGTCTTAATAAGATATATCTTTGACATTATATAACATAATGACCTTCATTCATTTAAGTCGATTACAAGAAAAAGACAACAGCTTAAAGCGGCTATAAAACATCCGATTTAAATGACTAAATAAAGTTTAAATCACTGACAGCAGTTAATCTCACTAACGTTCCAGGTTCAGACTTTGGTAGATGACGCCGTAACAGTTACCTGAATGTTAGCATATCGGCTAACCCGCACCTCGCATTCTTACAGTTTCCCCACGGTTTCAACAATTTAGGCAAATAACATTAAATGTATTTAATTACCTGGCAGGAGGGCTCATCCTGCTGGGTCGGCTTCTGCTTCCTCTTGGCATTTTCAAGAGTTAAGTTTGTTTCGCTGCTCGTGTGAGAAAAGATGGACGCAACTCTGAGCTGCTATGACACACGCTCGCAGTTTTATCTCGACCTTTAGTTAATCCGGAACTTTCCATGTGTTACATCAGCTATCCTCCGACTGACTTCCGCTGCCGCAAAAACTATTGTGTAACTGATGATAATATATAATAAAAATATTTTTTTTGTTGTTGTACCATTTCTCATTAGAATTGGATAATAATTTAAATTCACAGATGCCCGTTTGTTTGTTCTTTTTTTACATTTTCAATCCAGAAAGGGAACAATGTGCCTAAAACATGAATATAATTTCGGCAATCTAAAAATGGTGGTAGGAAGAAATTTATCGACACAACCTGTTGCAACTAACCAAAAAACATGTTGGGGACAGTAAACATGGGAAACAGGTTCCTCTGGCTAATTAAGTAAGATTCAGACCGAAGTGCAAAATGAAATGAAGGAACATAAGCTTGCGATGATTCTCAGTTATCCAGGTCATAGTCATTCAAAAAAAAAGTGTTTTAAAAAAAACAATCCACTGGACTTTGTTTCCAAGTTTGAAGACATTTCGCTTTCCATCCAGGAAGCTTTTTCAATTCAAAATGTCAGAATTAGTGCTGAGTACCAAGCTTTATAGAGTAACCCAAAATAAAGCCTTGTTTTGGCTTAGAAAACAAGTCCGCCCCTTAGGAATGGGGAGTCCTTGAGGTCATTGTTGGCCTGCAGTACTGGTCTATGCCTCTGAAAGGGAGGTCGTTAGGGTCGTTGTTGGCCTGGCTGACCAGGCGAGATGTTTTGTTCTTCTGCATGGGGAGGGGGGTTGAGATGATAGTGGGAAGGAATCAACTATATCGCTGCTTTGTAGGTTTTTTTAAGGCTGAAATTTGAGTCCACTCCCTCTATTTAAGGTTTTTTCTTTCTTAACATAGATGGCGTCCTTCACACCCCTCTCAAACCACCGTACTTCTTTGTCCAAAACATTCTGGTCCTCAAAAGAATGACCTTTGTTCATCGGGTGTCAATGTACAGCAAGTCTTGTCCGGAGGATGCCGCTCTTCTGTGTTGGGCCATGCGTCTGGAAAGGTTTTTTTGGTTTCTCCAATATAAAGATCAGAACATTCCTTACTGCACTGAACTGCATACACCACTGCGCTCATATTTGGTATGGGAGTTTTGCCTTTAGGATGCATGATTTGTTTAAAGGTCTTGTTTGGTTTGAATTCTACTGGGATTTTGTGTTTGGAGAAAATCCTCTTGAGTTTTACAGAGACTCCAGCAACATATATGGATAATTAAATGTTTTTGCATTAAATTATCTCACCATTATGTTCTGCTGCGTGTCTTTTGGATTTCCTTGCTGATTTGACAAACGCCCAGTAAGGTTTGGTGAGCACCTTTGATGTGTTTCTGTTCTTCTTGCTTCCCTTCTGTTTTGTAGGGACATGCTCGGCTTTCTGTCATCAGAATCTGACAACACCGAGCTTCCCGGATGGGATGGGAAACGTCTTTAAACTTGGAAAAAAAGTCCAGTGGACTATATTTTTTAACACTGTTTTTGGAAAGGAATCTAAGCTGCACATCACTATGAAAACATCATCCACACAGTGAAACATGGTGGTGGCAGCATTGTGTTGTTTGGATGCTGTTCTTTGGATGCCTGTTTTTTTTTTTTTTTTTTTTTTACATTTTCTATCCAGTAATGGAACAATGTTCCTAAAACATGAGTATAATTTCGACAATCTAAAAATGGTGGTAGGAAAAAATATATCGACACAACCTGTTGTTTGTTTGTTGTGTTGTTTGGATGCCTGTTTGTTGGTTCTTTTTTACATATTCAATCCAGAAAAGGAACTATGTGCCTAAAATATGAGTATAATTTCGACAATCTAAAAATGGTGGTAGGACAGGGAACCTGAGGTTGCTGATGCTGAGGATCCATGGAGCTTCATACAGGACTTAAAGATTTTCTTCCCTAGTAAATTAAATAATCTAGTGCTTATTGCTTAAATTTGGTGATCTTTGTCCAATTTTAAAATTAACCTGATGATCTAAAACATTTAGAAAAATATCAGGTATTTGCATAACACAAAAAAAGTTTTTCTGCACTGTCTGCATTTCACATACGTAGAAGGAAAGCAGATACCTTGGGATATTTCTTTAAAATAACAACCTTAATTGTTAAACTGATAACAGTGTAGTACTTTTGGATTAAAGTTTGTTATTACTACTATTCATTTGTTTTCCCCTGATACACACACACACACACAACTGTTTTTATGACATATGGGGACATTTAACTGACTTGCATTTATTTTATAGGGCATAACCCAGACCTTATCCTATTAGCAACTTTTACCTAACCCTAACTTAAACAGAACCGTGCAAGACAGACCACTACAGAAGATCCCTCCTGCCTACAGCTATCAAAAGCTACAACTTGATCACAAAAAAAAAAACACAACAAACTAACCCTATGAGTTACTGAAACATAAAATTTCCCTTTATTAATAATGTATTTTTGAATTAAATTATTTTTCCAGTTAACCTGGGTCCTGGATATGCATGGGGTCCCATTATCCTCAGCACTGTTCTAGCAGTGTTTGCAAACATAGATAATCTCTTATGAATTTTCAGATTCCTTTTCAGGTTTAATTACCATGGGAATATCTTAGTTATCCCACAGTTAAGGAAGAAGATAGGAGCCATGTGTTCCAGCAGGGGATTGCAAATTCAGAAAAGTGAAACAAAAAATTTTGACATTTTCCTTAAATGCCCGCCATTTATTTACTGCGTTATCTGTAATGAAAATGCAAGTAGAATATACATAGTTCTAATTGGAAGATTTTACATTAGACAGAAAAAAGCCTGGAAAATAAATTGAAATTGATAAGGAAAATTGATAAAAATGGAAATAATGATATTGGTTTTAACTGTATACATACATACATGCATACATACACGCGTACGTATATATCAATAAATAAAACAAGCCTTAGGGAGCACCTGAACTAAACTGTTATTGAGCAATACTCAATCAAGCGTTTTCTGTAAGGTTCAAGAAATGTTCAGACTTCACTTGTTGACATCTATGTTGGTTCACTGTTTCTGAGTAAGGCACTTGCAGTTTGTTTTTATAATTATTTTTAACCAAAAAAAATCAAAACCAATATTTTAAATTGACTAGGTTATAATTTAGTAAGTGTTTATTATTTTTTCAACTTTGTGTCATTAGAATTAATTGTGAGAATTTATCATTTTCTGTGGGAGGGTATGTAAACTTTAAAGCGTAACTTTAAATAATCCTGTAAGTTTTTTGATTTCTGCGCTGTAGTAACAAAGTGGGTGAATAACTGTAGCAAAATAAAAGCAGCTCCTTAAGTGATAGATAAACGGAACACATTGTTGGACCAAACACAAAAACAAATGGTTTAATTTGAGGCAAAAATAATCTTTAATTAAGGCTAGCCAAAAAATAATAATTCAATACAATCAATATCTCTGCCAGGCCTTACCATAGAATTAAAAAAAATTACAGAAATATCTGCTCATACACCAGAACCTTACCAATTATAAGCTTTAGAGTACTTCCAAAATGTTCTCTGAAGTATGTACATAATGGTTATAAGTATGCTTATATCCATAACAAAAAATTATATTAAAAGCAATAACAATCTTAATAAAAAGAAAAAACAAAGAAGTAGAGCCTCTAAAGAGAGACAGGCTACTCTTTTTTCCCTTTCTTCTTTCGATGCTTATGTTGATAGTTTCCCCCTCTTCCTCCTCTGCTTCCCTGTGCTCTTCGTCCTTCCCACACTGGCATAGGAGGCTCTATCTCTCCGGGCCGTCCTCCTCTGTCTGGAACGCTGCCCATCAGCATCTAGTCAGAGCAACCACGTAGGTAAAAAAAACAAACAACTTTCTCTATACATATTCAAGTGAACAGTTGTACCTTGTAGACGGCGGTGCTCTTCCCAGCTTTTATTGGTTTGATGAAGGACTGATCTTCTCTGGCAGCTAGCAGGAGCGATGGAGACACTTGGGAGGACCCAGTGAGGGACAAAATAGACGGAACTGAGGCTAGGGCAGCACTGCGTTCCTGCAAAATAAAACCTTGTTAAATCAGGAGTGTCGGTGCTGATACAGCTCTGGTGAGGTCATTGATTAAAGCTGCTATATATGATGGAACGTCCAGCTGTTGACAGTGATTCAGCTGGTAAGTATAAGGGACTCGTTTCAGCACATGGCCTCAACAATAACCATCAGCTGTTTATTTCATTTACTTTTAATGGCAAGTAAAAATATTGATAATTTACAGTTAAACCCCAATAAAATATGGATAAGTACACACATTTCAGGTCAGAAAGGGAAGTTTAGACACTTACACAGTAATGCAATTCAGTTTAGTTTCTAATAATAAGCTAATAAAGAGACATCAAAATTTATGAGAAATAAAAGCATTTTTGTTAAAACTGGCTTGATTATGTACATTAAATGTCCTTATCTTCTTTCATGCATCTTATTGATGAAAATGGCTTAATAAATTGTCTTTTGGCTGTAGGTCAGGGCCTGTTTGTTCGTCATTCAACCACAGGGATGTGGTCAGGTACCAAATTTCTATAATACGTTGGCTGGGAAAACCATAATGTTCTCTAAAATGTCAGAGTAAACGTCTGCTCTCACCTTAGACAAGATGAAACACGGGGAACCAATCCTGCTTGACCTCCACCTGCTAAAACCTGTGACTCTCTGCTCTTTCTTCAAACTCTTAGACCCTGGTTTAAACAGTGAATTTAATTTCATCTAAAAAGGGAACTTTGGACCCCTCTAATTCTGATCCTGTCGCTAGCAGCTGATTAAGACGAGGATTCTGACATCTGCAGCTTGTGTGCAGGATGCATCTGTGTGTGCGTGTTGAAGCATCAGCTCACGCCTTATGAATGCTCTTCAGATTTTTAATTTTTTAGGATTTTTCTCTCAAGGCAATAGTTATCCAACATGTTTTCTTTACATTAAACTTTTCATTTTTAGGCTTGGATACAGCACTCAGAATTTACTCATTATTGTGGAAGTCATAAATGTCTGAAGAGGTTTCTGTTCAAATCCTTTTTTGTTTTTATGTTCTGAGAACCTGAATTTTAACTTAGCTTTTAACAATTGTCATCATATTTAACAGAAAGTAATGCTTGAAACATATCAATCTGCATATAATAAGTTGGCAAACACATGTGGTTTGACTTTTTTATTCAATTACTGAATTAAATAAAACATTTTGTCTTGTTTTAATGCATGTACTGTTGGTTTCTGAGATTGACCACACAGTGGCGCTGCAATCAACACTCAACATATACTGTAGGCACTATAACGAAGAGTGACCCAAATTGTTGCCTAGTATTAACATTGTAAATTAGATTAATAAAATAGAAAAAAAGAGTATTTATACACTTTTTAATGTCTTTTATGGAACTCTTTTAGGTGTGTTAAATATGATCATTATTTTGGTTTGTGTTGTTTTGAGTAATGCTGTTCTTTTGGATATGCCTTTTAAATAATGTTTTTATGTATATGCTGTTGCTGGAAGTAAATAAAAATCTCTATTTTAGGAAACATGATGGACAATCTAGTTGATGAATTGATGCAATACATTTGTTGCCCTCCTTTTAAAATGCATCGCTGAAGACCCTTAAAAGTGTCTGATCTAGAAGGATTAACAGATCATTTTTATAGTAAATAAATAAATAATAATAATATAGGACCAAATGTTTGTTATATTCAAGTATAGAAAATCATCCATCCATCATTTTTCTTCCGCATATCCGGGCCAGGTCGCAGAGGCAGCAGTCTAAGCAAAGACGCACACTTCCTCCAGCTCCTCTTGGGGGACCCCGAGGCGACTGCAGGCCGGCTCAGAGACATAGTCCCTCCAGCGTGTCCTGGGCCTTCAACGAGGCCTCCTCCCAATGGGACATGCCTGGAACCAGGAGGCATCATTAACAGATGCCCGAACCACCTCAGCTGGCTCCTTTCAATGTGGAGGAGCAACGACTCTACTCCGAGCTCCTCCCAGGTAACTGAGCTCCGCACCCGATCTCGAAGGGTGCGCCCAGCCACGCTACAAAGAAAACTCATTTCGGCCGCTTGCATTAGTGATCTTGTCCTTTCGGTCATTATAATGGAATGGAACGTTACAGGAAATCAAAATTGGAAAATTACTTTGGCATATTTAATCATCATTATTATATTTTGGGCCAGGAAAAAACAGTTGTGCATTTCTGAAAATTAGAAGAAATCAAAAAAAAATAAAGCTCCTAATTATCTCTGGTTTGTACACAGACCACTCTAACATACCATAATTACTTTTTGCAGAATATAAGTTTGAATTCTTGTATAAATGTTTCTGAATAGATTAGCTCACATCCCATTACAATGTGTTAAAAAAAGAATCAGAACAAGAGTAGGTTGAAAAGGTGACTATTTCTCCATTTTGAAAATAAACTGCAATTGGACAGGCAGCTTTTTCAAACCTTGAACACCATACTACCATTTAAGAGCTCTGCAAACATTCAGCTCATTCTTAAACGCTGGAAATAATGATGGTGGGACAATCAGAGCCGTCTTCATCACGCATAAAGACACATATTTATTTACTGTGGTTTTTATATGCATTTCATTGTGCGATTGCTATCGGGTTAAAATAACTTCCTGTTTAAAGGCCATTATAGATCTTATGGGGGTGCTTTTAATAAACAGGGTTGGGCAGGTGGATGGAAGGTGGGTTGGAAGTAACGGGTTAGTGAGATGAGAGAAAATGTCTGTGGCAGCTTTAACCCGGCAGGGGATGGAGGATGGAAATTAGCCTCCTAACTAAAATCCTTGATTTTAGTTTCTGTAATAAGTGTATGTTTTCTCTGTAAATACATTGTCCCTTTTCATTTAAACAAACACAAATACAGAATAAATTAAATAAAACATAGAAAGAGCATTCTGTAGACTGATATTTAATGTAATGTTGTGATTTAAGGCGTTATTTTTTTTGACTAAGAGATATATTTTATGCCAGAATCTAAACCTAATAAAAATGAGCAGGGAATTAATTCTATTACCAAATAAATGCTGTGCTTTGAATTTTTTTTCTTAGCTGTGAGTTAATCTACAAGGAGAAATCTCCTTCAACCAGAAAGGCTGTTAACAGAGCAAATGCATTGAATAAAAGATTTAACATAACTACCTTTGTTTTTTCACCCCACGCAAAGGACTCGAGCGTAACCTGAAATCGTTTAATCATCATCTGCTGCCGACAACGGTAATCCACAGACAGAGTCTGATTGATCTTTAGAAGTGCAGCCTGAAAAGAACCAAAGCAAAACAACATTTTTATGAAACTAAAACAGGATAATTTAAATAATAGGAAAATATCTATGTGAACTCACCCACTGCTCTGAGCTTAAGCTGGTGCTCAGAAGGGGGTTTGTCATCTCTCCACCCGGTAGACGAGAATACCTTGAATTCACCTGATTTAAAAAATAAAAAGCTCTGACCTTTCATTACTCTTTTTTTTTTAGTCTTTATAAATGTTTTTAATATCCAACTAACAGGCTTGCCTCATTCTCCACATCTTCAAATTGAGAAGAAGCATCCAAACCAAGTGCATGCAGCAGTAAAATCCACTCTGCCTGCATCTCCGCTTTCTTTTTGTCCATCTCTGCAGCATCATCCTCTCTGTATTCTTCACCCAAATCGTAGCAGTGATGCTCAACTCGCTGCTCTTTTACCGATTCTCCGTCTGACAAGTTCTCTTCAGCATGCAGCTCCTTCTGCTTGATTAGATGAGCCGCTAGCAACTCTGACACAAGGAAGTCTGCAGATTTATGCATTAAAAGGTATGACTCCAAAATCATTGGTAAATATATAACATCATCCATAAAACAGAGTGATTCCTCACCAGTGATCTTGTTCAGGGTAGACGGTTCCAGCACATCCATATCAGCGAGGGGCGAAAACATGTTTGACAGCAGAATTCTTAACTCTTTCACCAACAAAACACCACCTGCTCCCTTAAAGTCTGAAAAAAATGAAACCAGGGAGCTTTTGAAGATGTTGCCTCTGCTAAAACATTTAAATGATAAAGATAGTAATGTATGATAAAGACAGAATCTATGAAATATAGCTTAAACAAAAATATATTATATTATAGGAGTGAAACCCAAGTACCTAGAGCATTAGATGCTAGATTTAGTTTGTTGCACCGGGAAAACATCTTATGAATCTATCATTATGTGCAGAGGTACTTACCCTCTGCTACCTTTGCAGTATATGTTTAGTTCCAGTTGTATTCAGGCATCTTGAAACAATATCTTGCAGAAACCAGCTTTTCACTTTTATCAAAGCTGCGAATTCTGCGAGATGTGATTAGGATTTGAAATTGTTTACTAATGATGTCTGACAAACTTCTGACAGAATCACAAAACAGCTGGATTTATGCACTGATTATATTATAGAAATGCTGGGGGCACTGGATTTTATTCTATGGGGGACTGAATAGAAATGAACTTCCTACTTTTTAAAAGCATGTGTTTGGAAATATTAGGAAAACCATGCATGTTTCTTTCTTCTTTAATTTTACTACTATACAGCAGGGGTTCCCAACCTTTTTTGACTTGTGTATCCCTCAGGGAATTTTGTCGTACCATGAGTACCCCCATAAGTATTGATGACTTTCCAAAAGTGGCAAATTAAAAGTATTTTACTTCATCTTTTTAACTTGAGTATTCAATTATTTGGCATTTTATTATTCCCAACACCTGGAAGTTAGTAAGGAAACAAAAACATTTAACTGGAGCTCCTCTGAGTAACTCCCTTATAATCACATTTAAACTTGATGGATTGGGAAGAAAATACAGAACACAAATTGTAGTCAGTCAGAATGACTTCATTATTATTTTTTTCCTTTGTTTTCATCAATCATGACATCTGAGCTTGCTTTGATCAGGAGTTTAAAAACAGCTGATCCCAGATTGTTCTCTACATCCAGTCTCTTCCTCTGCTTGGTTTAGATGTGTGTCACAGCTGAAGGTAAACTCAAACATATGAGAAAAACTGACTTTTTGATTGAAAAAAAAGTTTGTTTGTTTTTTTGTTTTTTTTTAGTTGGTTCCTCACAAAACAGAACAGATCCCAGCCCTATTTTATTTTTTTACCTGAAAAATAAAATATTTTCTGAACCCCTTGCAATGCACTCGCGGACCACTGGGGGTACGCGTACCCCGGTCTTTCGCAAGATCCCAAAGAAAATACATTCAACTTTTTGTTAAAATAAAATGTTCATTTGGATTTTAAACATCCGCCAAAGTCCTCTCATCCGTAGGGTTACATAAGTAATTCTTAATTTACTATAAGCTGAACAGTAGATGGGCACCCAGACAGGGCCGTAAGCAGGATTTTTGAAATACCAAGGTCAAATATTGCGATAAAACTTACTTGACAAAAAGAACATCCTGATATGGTGACTTTTTAAAATATACTTTGGAAACGTGAATAAAGAGAGTGAAATCACAAGCCCATATGAACATGTTAATTATAACCATTCCAAAACTCACACAATTAGAGAGAGTGAGTGAGTGAGTGAGTGAGTGAGTGAGTGAGTGAGTGAGTGAGTGAGTGACGAATTAATGTGAGTGAGAGAGAATGAATGTGAATGTGAGTGATTGAGAGTATGTGAGAATGTGAGTGAGTGAGTGAGTGAGTGAGTGAGTGAGTGAAAGAGAATGCGAATGTGTGAATGAGTGAATGAATGTGAGTGAGGAAATTAATGTGAATGAGTGAATTAATGTGAGTGAGTGAGTGAGTGAATGTGAGTGAATGGGTTAGTGAATGTGAGTGATTGAGAGTATGTGAGAATGTGAGTGAATGAGTGAGTGAAAGAGAATGCGAATGTGTGAATGAATGTGAGTGAGTGAATATTTGTGAGTGAGTGAATGAGCGAGTGAGAATGTGAGTGAGAGAGAATGAATTAGTGAGTCAATGAATGAGTGAGAGAGAGAATGAATGTGTGAGTGAGTGAATGTGAGTAAGAGAGTGAGTGAGTGAAAGAGAATGTGAGTGAGAGAATGAATGTGAGTGAGTGCTATTATTATTATCATCATCATAATCATACTATATTATTGTTATGGTTGTGTTTTTATTAATATTGAATTATTATTACATCTGCATGGCCCACTAAATGCATCAAATGAATTGCAATAATATATCAGATTATGGGCTTTATTTGTTTTTTTAACATATGAGAATGCATGCTGATCGTTACACCAATCAAAGTCAGAACTATTTTCATCATATAGTAATAATAATTAAAAAAAATAATAACAACTAAAAAAAAAAAAAAAAGAACCTGGGAAAATACCGAGGACATGACCTCGGAGTTCTCACCTGTCAGCTCAGGACACAGAGCCCCGAGCTCCGCGGACAGCCAGTTCAGCAGCGGACAGGGGAGCTCATCACACCTGCACTGAATGAGGCAGGAGCCGCCCACAGGGTACCTGAGCAGGAAGTGGAGACAACAGGTAAACTCACCTGGTCTGAAAGTCAAGTTTATGATGCAATCTAGAGTCCACAGTGAGAAAAGCGGAGGGATACAAGCTGCATTGATCTATACGATACAGGATTTTTAAACTTTTTACACATTAACATCGATGAATTATTATTTCTCACCCAAGATCAACAATGGCTGAACTTGTCTTCTTGTTTCTCTCCATTCCAACAGCGGAAGGAAGACAATAATTCACATTAGTTTTTGTTGGCGTGTTCAATGTGCAAGTAGTGAACTGGTTCTATCGCTCAGATATGAGCGGTGTTTACATGGACTGCTTCCTCACAGGATGTCTAACTGAATACCCCGCTGATATATCGCCCTCTGCTGGTCGGAGTGTGCAATTGCCCAACTCGGGAAACCGCTTTCAACTGGAAAAAACACCGAAATAAAGATGATTTGCCCTTATGTTCTCCCGGTTATTCTACCAGGGTATACAAAACCAAATTTCCAGACAGTAAGTGAGTGAGTGAACATTTCCAGTCAATAAAGTGCAGCAGAATGAAAAGAACAACATTAAAGTGAAATTAGATTTTATGAAATATACCAAATAAAACACCATAAAAAGATAGTGTACACATTGACTTATTCATAATTAAAAAAAATGAAATTGTTGTCTTGAAATGATGAAATTGTATATTGTTCCAACAGATTCACATAACTTTCCTTACCCTTGATTTATTAAGCAACTATATATTCAGTAACCTCACCATCATTATAATGTTATATACGTTTTTACTTATGTAGCCTACTTGTTTTTTTCTTATTTTTTCTTTTATTTATTTAAATTATATGACAATAATAGACTGCGATATTTAAGCTTTTAATTTTTCTCTTAAAATATTTTGGAATTTAATTTTTTACTATGTATTCATTATTTAGTGTTTCTGCATTGATAATATATTTCAATTGTTTCTCCAAAATCTATTTTTTTTTTTATGTTTGTTTTATATTTCTAGTATCTTTAGATTGTTTTTTTTTTTTTTTTTTTTACCTACTTTGCTAAATAGGTCCACTGATGTAGACAGAAAAGTCATTCGATGTCATGCAGCTTGTTTAAACAACAACAGCCATGTCTCATGGCTGTTGTTGGGCTCGCTGTCTGAATGACGGCGCGCACTGATACGAAAAGAGAGAAAATAGGACCAATTGATAACGACGTGTGACTTTTTCCACTACAATGTTTTTGGGATGCGAAAATATCACTCTTTTGAACACATAATGTTTTGGGAAGAGAAAAGTTTTATTTCGCTGTACCTAAAAACCTGCAGGACTACTTTCGGCTTGACCAAAACTGGACGATAACTCTGCTCACAGGACGCTGCCAGGGGTAAGTCAGTGTGATTGCATGCCGCTGGTGATGGGGATGCCATACAGATTCATGTCAAAAATACCGAACTATCCCTTTAATGACTTCACCTCACCAGGCAGACCACCATGATGGTGGAAGTGGACTGAAGCTTCAGTTTGATTCAATTCAGTTAGTTTTGTATTTTATCTAATCGATACAAGGTGGAAGTCAGATATAGGTTCTGTATGTAAAATATATCAGATGAAACAATATTTTATCTTTATTTGTGAATTAGCTGTTCTGGTGGAAGCCACTAAATTTCATCAGAGATATTGTGTTGTGCCAGATTTGGTTGGATAGTAAAAAGTACAGAATTAGAAATATGTGCTTAAAAAGGTGAAATGAGGATAATACAGTAAGAAATGTACACACAAAAAAAACAAGAAAAATCAGTGTAAGTAAGGTGGATAAAGGGTGGACAAAGGTGATGATGAGACTGAGGATAGGTCATAATTATCTAAATGACATTGTAGAGAGGGGATACAACTGAAAGAAAAGGATGTTGGGAACAGTAAGATAGGTGGAACTAAACGGAAGTCAAGAAGGAATATTGCGAAGTGAAGGGAAAAAGGAGACCTAATTGGGAGAACATTGTTCAAATGTCTACATAAAACTAAATAGTAGAATTTCAGATGGAGGTTTTGGAAATTACTCAGGTACAGTAGGTGGCGGCATGTACCTGTAAGCTGTAAGCAGTCTGTCTAAAAACTGAGAAAAAGTTGAGGGTTGGACTGTGATGTGAGTTTCTGACAGAGATCGACCAATGCAGGTTATTTAAGGCTAGTGCCATTATGATTATGTAAAAACTGGTCTAACCACTGACATATGGTGGCTACTTTTTGGTGCTTATCTTTTTTCTTTCTCCATTGACATTATAACGATGCAATGATAACAAATTTGACAAATTTCTCAACTAAAATTTTATTAACAAATCAAATAAAATATTAACAATGGATGGTAAATACAGGGGTGGAAATGCATGCGTTTGACGTGATCACAAGGCATGGTTGCTGAATGCAATAAAGAATCAGCAAATGCATGCTGGGCAGACCTGTTAGGACTTTTTTTGAGAAATAAAAGAATAGCCCTATTGACGACCATTGGGTTTTATCCCGTCTGAGGATTTGAGGAATGTATTGTCTCTGCGAAGTACCTTGAGATGACATGTGTTGGGAATTAGTGCTATTTCAATAAAGTGAATTGAAACAATTCAGCAATAACAAATCCTTAGAACAAGATAAAATATTGCATTATTAATTAAAGTGCTTAGTTACTATCCTGTGCCTTTTGGGGTAATTTAGACTGTCAGGGTTTGCGTAGGATTATGAATTTAAGGAACAGCTGAATAAAACCTTCTTTATGACCTGGTTACGTTATACAGGAAGGATGAGATCATATATTCGGACTGAGGTAAATTATGATCCAAAGTCCAACAGCTTTTTCTGAATTGGTAAACTATGACATCGGTTCACTCAAAGTCTGTTTAATAGTTTCTGCTTATCTTGTTCTTTAATTTTCTTAATGATCCAGCTCCTTCACCACTACGTCATGTGCTGCTGATAATGCTGTGAATGCTCAGTGTCACCATGTAATACTTTCCTCAAGGTGCCATTATCACCTCTCTCTGAGGGTTTTATGGTCATCAGATGTGCTGCTTCAAGGCCTCCTTTTCTATCTCCTTCTGCATTTTCTCACCACAGATTATCTGGAACATGTGTAGAAGTGGCATTATCAGAAGCACCTGCAGTCTGATCTAAAAGCTGGTGTCATCTGTGCTGCAGCGATTCGTGTGCTTCACATTTATTGTGTCTAATCAGACAATTCCTTCCTCACATCTGACTGTATGCACACATGTATGAACCCCAGCGCTTTATTAGCTCCGCTTGCATGTATTGTTGAGCTCTGCAGGACTTCTCAGCAGGTGCTCTGTTAAACAACCCATCACACCGGTGGCACATCAACAGGAACAATGGAGACAATAGCAGCGAGGCATGCTGGGCTGTGACGTACAGTCCCTCCATGTTTGCTGATACCATATGTACAGAAGCCATGGCTTCTCTGACTACAAAGCTCTGCCATGCGTCAGGATGCTTTGTCTCTTATTCCCATGACACCGGACTCTGCTTCAAGAAAGCTCATGGATGATGACCCTTGACCTTCGAAGAGCGTCTAGACAAAGAATGGCACAGATTCCCTCTCTGAGGAAACCAGAGACCTTCCATAGCAGACTCATTATATTTGAACATTTGTTTATTTGTATAAATTAACATTTAAAATTTGAAAGGTAAAGATAACTAAAACATCACTGTCATCAAAAGCCTACAAGAAAAAAAGGTTTGAAAACACCAATGAACTTGCAATTGTAGATTTATTTTTTGTGGAAAACTTTAGGGCTGTAACAAACAATCAAATTATTTGTGATTAATTGATCATAAAAATAACCGGCAACTAAATGCTAATTATTATTGTAATAGATTAATTGTTAACTGGATTATAGAGACTCTAAATCATGTCTGTAGCTTACAGAGCTCAGCAACACAGAGCAGTAATTATACCAAAATAAATAAAAAATAAATAAATAAAAACTACTTTTTATTTTATGATAAAGAATAAAAAAAATAAAAAATCTTTGCTGTCAATATGCAGATTTCCTCATGCGGAAAAGTTTTAGTTTTACCTGGTTTAAATTCTGTAAACAGTCTTCTTTTAGGAACTTTTTTTTATATCCAATTATTAATTAAAAAAACTGATAGATTAAGCAATTGGCTAAGTAATTGTTAGTTAAAGCCCTAAAAAACTTGATCAATTAGTCATTTTAGAAGGATTTCAAGCATGAATGGCCCATTACAGGCCATTTAACCCTCCTTCAAGAGTTTGACTAGGTCATTTCACAAACTTCATTTTGCTTTCAGTACATTTCCTGAGCTAATATTAATAAATGTGGATGCAAGTGAGATAATGAAGGCTTGCTTCCAACAAAACTCCTCATATTAATTAAGCTTATTCATTTAGAATACATATATCTATATATATATGTGTGTGTTTGTGAGCAAGCATATATATACATATACAAATATATGCATATATATATATATATATATATATATATGGTAAATGGTAAATGGCATGTACTTATATAGCGCCTTTATTCAAGTTAGGAGACCTGACCAAAGCGCTTTACACTACATTCATTCACCCATTCACACACACACTCACACACTGATGGTGGCAAGCTACATTGTAGCCACAGCTGCCCTGGGGCTCACTGACAGAAGCGAGGCTGCCGTACACTGGCGCCACCGGGCCCTCTGACCACCATCAGTAGACAATGCAGGTGAAGTGTCTTGCCCAAGGACACAACGACAATGAAAGTCGGAGTCGGGGCTTGAACCGTCAACCCTTCGATTTCAGGGCAAACTCCTACATCCAACGCCACTGTCGCCCTGTATATATATATATATATATATATATATATACATATATATACATACATATACACATTTTAAATTAGAATTGAAACATTTGTTAATAAGAAAATTGGAAAAGTAGTAAAGAAATAAAGTCAATACATGAAAATGCTAATACACAGAAGTTAAGTTAATGTGAACAATAACCTAATGTGTCTTTTATTTAATATTAGGTATATGCGATATAAACATGTTTGCTTTACAAGTGGTGAGGAAAATGTGGTAAAATTAGACTTAGGCCCTAAATGTCATTAATTTAAAGTTGAGTCACCATCCATGTTGGAGTTGAAGCTTTACTGAAACTCAGAGAAACGTGTTTCTCTGCATGTTTGGGTCATATGCAGGAGTTGTCATGTTTCCACGATGACGCAGCGCGCGCGCTGGTGCCATGGATCAGGTGTCTGTTTACGCTCAGGTAAAGGGAAGCCCCGCCCCCTCTTGGAGACCAAACAACCATCGCTGCTGACACACGCAGAGGGCAGTCAGACAACTTTCACCGGAGTGTCCCCCACTGAGATCCAGACTGTCAGAGAGCTCTCAGTGATGAATGGCACCTCTTCTGCGCGTTTAATTCATGCATCTTAACAGGGAAAAGAGCAGAAACTAAAATAATAAAACTGTTAATATAGAGCGATGGATCGGCTACATGAATGGAGGTTAAAACCCAAGAAAATGGAGCTGGAGGAGGACTTCTATTTTGCCTACAGAGCTGAGGAAATAACAGATTACCAGGAGCCCTCTGAACTCCTGCATGCTCTGAAACAAAAGGAGGAAGAGGTTATTTTGGCAGCGCAGCTGGGAAACGCGTTGCTCCTGGAAAACCGTCAGCTGAAGGAACAGAGCGAGAAGCTTCATGAACAGTTCGCAGACCAGCTGGAGGTAGGAAAAGAGAACATTTCCATAATTTTAACGCGTTTTCAACAGGATTCGGATAACGGAATGGCTGTAGATATTGAACATGAAGAAATAGATGTGCTGCGTAAAAAGAAAAAAAAAAAAGAAAGTTTGCGCTTTGGGTGGGCGGCTGACTGGGTTGGAGTTTCACAGGAAAGTGCCTTCCCTTCTTGTAGCAACAGAGAATTTGTATAACATGAACATTCAGATTTATTAAATGAAGAAACGATAGATTTATAAGTTGACTGATCAGATATGAAATGATTATTTTAACCCATCTGCACTATTAAAGAAAATAAATTCGCACTTGTTGGTTCAGAATGGCTCCTCAAGTCAGTTTCATCTCACATTAAAGAAAAAATAAATCCTAACATTATAACAGGTTTCTACTCAGTTGCTCTCACTATTTACATATTTTTCCTCTGCTTTGGTTTCGATGACTCCACAAGCACTCCTGTCCTGCTCAAATGTGGACACAGAAATGCTTTATATGCCACAGGCTGCAAAGTGGAACAACACTAGTGCAACAGTTACCTGGTGGTGATCATGAAGAGGGTGCAAAGAATCTCACACCTGAGAGGTGATAAGAGACTGAAAATATCAGTGCTTCCACTAGGGAGTCATATAGCTTGAATTTAAAACAATTTTGGACACAAAAAGCAGGACTGGTTGTAGATAACTTTAATAATTATGAAGGATTAAAGCCAGTTTGATCTAAAGTCTTGCAGATTTATTCAGATCATCTATCAGGGCCTACAGAGGATGGAGATTTAGCTGAAAGAGTCATTGGACTGTTCCTTATTTTACGGGAGACACACAGAATACAAGGGGACATATATCTAGGTTGATTGGTTTCAGCATTAAATACATAACAAAATCAATTGGTAATTTGTGAAAAGAAATGTTACAAAGAATAAAATCTGTTAAAAAAGCTACTAGTAATATCATCTGGTTTGTTATTTGAAAAATATGCAATAAAAAAAAACACAAATTTTAGTTTTGTAAGGACCAAAATAGAAACTGGAAAACAATACCTTATAATGTAGATGAAACCTTTTTCTGAATATTTCTCTTTTAAATAATACCATAAACCAGTATTTTACGCACTCTTAAAATAAAATGCTGCTCTAAATTAAAATAATTGATCAAATTTGTAACAAGTACGTGAATCTTGTTGAATTAAGGTTAAAACCGTACTTTATTCAATTACTTGTTACCAATTGAAGCAATTAATTTAGATTGGAGCAGCATGTTCTCTCAAGTGCAGGAGGTAATCTATATTTGTTTCTGCATATTTAGTTGATTTTTTAAAGGGGTCAGCTGACAGAAAGCAACTTTAAAACCACAACTCGTGGTTCATGCAACATAATTTTAACCTAAATGTAGGGGCTTTGTATCTGGTGCATCATTCATCAGATTATAACATCAAATCTGCAGCTTCCTCTTTCTGCTCATTTTACTGCTTAGCTGCTCATTCACTGTCAAAACGCTGAATGTATCGAAATTTTCGACTCTAAAGTTTGTCTAAGTCTAAGTTTCATTCATCATCGTTGTGGTTTATTTAATTTATTTTTATGTTTCTATTAGAATACCATTTGGAACACTGATAATGATTTAGTATACATATACATTAGGAGAATAATGATAAACTATTTTTTCTTTTCATTATGACAGCCTTGTGCCGGCCCAAACATGGACATTTGCCCATCCCCTGTATCCCCAGTGGCCAGAACAGCCCTGGGAATGTCTCTATGGTCTAGATATGTGTCAGTCTGGTCACATGCTCTACCTGCAAGGTCTAAATGGTTTCAAATTTTAAACTGGTGTTAGAACTGAGTTGAATCTGCTGCACAACTATTAAGATTCCTCTGTAGTCTTGAAAAGAGTGGGATTTGGATTTAAAAGCTTTCTGAAGTATGGCAAAAGACAATGTTATAGGGAAAAGACTTAGACAACTTTTATTGTCAGTGTATGCAAAATAGAAATATTTCATTCTGCACACCTTTAAGGCGGTGAATCAGCAGCAGCTTAGCAGTAAAATGAACATTTCCATTTCATAAAGTGCAGTAAATATTGTAAATGAGGGGTGTCCAATTCTCTTTTTATATAGGGACACCTCAGTGTTATTAAGTCTTTTAAAGTGCTAATTGCAGCTAAATAAAAATGACATTTTTGACATTTTCTATTTGTTTCACAGTTTGGGACACTTAAGTGGAACAGCTGTACTTTATGCGATGTTCTGTTTTGTTCTTGCCCTTTAGGGCCTGATAAATTGCAGAGGTGGGCCACATCCGGCCCACTGGCCTTAAATTTGACACATATGTTGTAAATTATAATTAAAGTTTCAGTCCTTATTTGTTTGTGATGCAATATTACTAAAATATCTATTATTTCTGGTCAGCTTTGTCAAAAACTAAACATTTGATTGTGGCATTCATTAGCGTGAGAACTAATGCATCTTTAAATATTAATAAAATAAAAAATAAAAAAACTGATGAACTAAAGGATTGACTTGATGATTTCTGGTCATCTGTTAATCTTCTGACTCATTCCTGTTTGGATCCGCAGGAGCTGGAGCAGGGACGCCATGACCTGCGAGTGAAGCTGGAGGACGTCCAGTCCCAGTGGGAGAGCCAGGTGGGAGACCTGGAGCGGGACGTGAGGGAGTTGAGCTCCCAGGTGGAGCGGCTGACGCAGGCGCTCAGCGAGGCCGAGAGGGACAAGAGCCGACTGCAGCTGGAGCACAGCGAGCAGACGCAGCGCCTCAGGGAGGAGCTCAGAACTGTGAGTCTGACACTGAGGTTTAGTTTTAAAAAGAATAATAGTGACAGGAAACTCCGCTTGGATGAAACTAACACCTGCTATGGATCCAAGGCATAACTAGAGGGGAATTGGATCCACTTATGTGAAACTAAGCTGCTTCTGTATCAGTCTGAGTCAGAACTGTTTTAGCTTTAAGCTGAGACTCTCAGGTGGTTTATATGCCGGAGTAAGGTCTTAAAACATGTTCTTTTTCTTTTTTCTATTGTACAAATAATTATTACAACCTCTCTGGTTAGAGGTTTATCCTCTTTTACTGATTAAGTCCAAATTGCAGCTGTTTGATTAGTGATTTTAATTAGAAAATTGAGAACTTAAATGAAGTCCTTTTTCATCCATCCTCCTAATGCATCATCATTTTAAAAACACATCCTCAGCATGATGCTGCCACCCCCAAGCTTTGCAGCTGTCATAGAGTTCTTATGTTTGAAAAAACCTCTCCTAAACTCTTCTAAACATTTTCTCCTCATTATGCCCAAATGCCTTAATAATTTCTAAGGTTTCGTTCATAACTCTCAACATTTTATCAAGCGTAAAAAAACCTCTAGTTGGAAACCCCCAAAAAGTAAACCAGAAAACTGTTATTTTACTTTTCCCCATTCTTTTTTTTATTGTAGCCGGATCAAGATCCAATGAACATATGGCTATTTTAAGGTAAAAATATAGCTACCGTATACATATAAACCTGCTATATTCAATTTTGTTTAACATTTGTAAATTATAAAACTAGAAGCCACTGATTGGGCATTGATATCAATGTACAAGTAAATGTGTAATAATATGAAGCCTAAACTTTGTGACCAGAACTCTTCATGCAGAAGAGAAATCTGGTCAGTAGCTGGGACTTGTCCTGGTAGAGGATCTATGTGTTGCAGGATGGAAATGATATATAAACAAGAAGGAGAGTGAAAGGTAATGAAATAACTTGATTTAAGATACAGAGAGGAGACTTATACAGGATCTCCTACTGCTACTGGTTTCACTTTACAGAGTGAATGTAGGGGGGGAAATCTTTATTATTGTTTTCTATAATTTTTTTACTTTTTGTGTTGTTAGACTCTAGGCCAGTTAATGGTGATATATTGAAGTTAACTTTTAACTTAAAAAAATGGAATGACATCATAGATGAGATCAGTGACAGCGTCCAGCTGACTCAGGGTTTAGGTCAAACTTTTATCGTCCTGATCTCACAGAAACGCCCCACCCAGGGAGCAAAAATAAGTCTGACATATTTTACAGCTTCTTATCTGTGAACACGGAGGAACCGATAGGATCCCTCAGCTGGACAACCTTGAGTATTTTTCCAGTCTCAGAAAAGCATGCCGTGTCCTTCTAAACATTTGTGAACTTGTTGCTTTCCGCCCGACTGATCGCCTAGCGGACCTGTTTCCTTGTTGTTGTGAAACTAGGAGCAAAAGTTAAAAATGAATCCAAGCAGCAGCTAAAATCCTCCCATAAGTCAAGGTCCAAATAATCAAGGAACTCCTCCACTACTGGGAATACATGCCCCCATGAAGTTCAGGAAAAAGTCAATTTAGATAAAAGTACAGCTCTTTGCTGCTTCAGGAGAGAGAGAATAGAAGTGAAGCAAGTTTTTAATTTGGCTGCCAAGATCCATTCCTGGTTAGTTATAGACTGTTTAGCTGGTAAAATGTTGGAAAATAAAGCGATCAAGGTTACGAAACAGCTTTGTGAAGGAGCTCTGTGTCGGATGTTTGGTGATTAGACGTGGTGAAGAGTATTGCTACTGCCTGCTGGGGTGAGTTTTTGGTGGATTTTTTTGTAGTGTCATAGGTCTGGAATTAGATTTTTAGTAAACAACAAAACCATTCAGGTTTTCCTCTTTTTATGATGTAAATGCATGTTTAATGTTATGTATTAAATCAAGAAACTTTACAAAACCTGATGGTAGCTTGTAGATTTACCTATTTTTTTTCTTTCATTTTTTTGTTCCTTTTTTATTCTTTGAGTCATTTCAGTTTAAAGTACCTAAATAATTTCTTTCTCACTCGGAAAGTCAGGGAAATAATTACCCCAACAAATGAAAAGTCACTGCTTAAGACCCCCTGCAGAGAGAAGGACGTCTATCAAGAGGCAAAGTGCAGATTTACTGCATTTGTCATTTACTTCCAAATACTGTATATTTATACCCCTGTCAATTTTTATATATTTTTTTGCAGTTTTTCACATTAAAAGACAAACTTTAATAGATTTTGGTGGGATTATATGCACAACATCAAGTGGTTCATAATGATAAACTCAGAGGAAGCAGATTCCCCATTGTAGCTGCATTAGCAGTAGAGTAAGGCTCAACTGGGAAATCTTACCACCAGATTAATGCAAAGCTGTTTAAACTCAGTCAGATTAGATTAAAAGCATCTTCAAAAACTAATTTTCCAGTTCTTGACACACATTCTCAGTCAGATTTAGGACCTGACTTTGACTGGATTGTTTTGTTGTAGCTCTGGCTCTATGTTTGGAGTTGCTGTGTTGCTTTAAACGCAAAAGGAATTTTACAACATAATTGAGGAACTGCTCAGATGACCAATCAGAGGCTTTGTTCACAAGTTTCTTTAATAAGGGTTCTGATAATCACTAAAAATTGTTGCTAGTTTAGTAGTTTTCTGCATAAATACCACCTTCTCAACTTTAGGTTTTGGTGCTTTTCAACAATAAGTTTTGCAGATTTCGTATCATCTTACCGGAGACAAAAATGTTATAATTGCAGGAGTATAAATAGCTTGTCTGGAAGCTTGATGACAATTTACCAGAGAAATGGAATCCAGAAGCAATTTACCAGCAATATCAAACACACCTGAAAGATCGGTGGCGTTAGGATCTCCTGTCCTGCAGCTTATGAGGAAATGGCTGCAGAAAAACCTGCACAGAAAATTCCCAATGATGACAGAGTTCAGAAGTGAGTGGGTACGCAGGAGCCTGAGCTCAGAAAAGAAGATTAAACATCAGGAATCAGTTAGTGATTCCAGGTTTTAATCACATTAACAGATCCAGACCTGCATGTGTCTGCTGCGTCAGTTTATTTTTAATTACATAACTCACATTAGTCTTAATTAAGGTAAAACATTAAATGTAGCCCAGAATAAACAGGAGAGTAGGACATTTTCTGTTTTCTCTGAAAAAACAGAAATTTCAAAGAAGCTGATAAGAAATACCAACTGACATGGGAGTATGTTTATAATGGGAGGGTGGAAATGTTTAGTTAATCATTCTAAAAGTTTTAAAACTAAACTTTAATTAAATCTTACTGTAAAAAAAAAAGCATTGAAGAATTATTATGAAGAAGTATTAGGCTGACCATTTATGGAATCATTTAAAACATTTTCTTTTTCTTAGATATTTTTTTTCTTTAAATTGATTTAACTTCAAGTTTAGCTGCAGATTAGAGGCATTTCTAACATTCGAACCATCGCTACTCCTTTTCCTAAGGTTTACTTTGGAGGCATGCTTTACTTTTCCTCCTCCTGTTTCCCCCTCACTGCATGATCACTGAAGGTTATTAGACAGCTGGGATTAAATTCTCTCTGTGAATTTCAGTTACTGAAAAAGGAGAGTGCCTGAATTCAGAAAAGCTTCCCTGACCTTCACCCCTTTGCCAGCATCACCACGCTCACAAGCCACATAAAACAAAAGCCTTTTGTATATTTCTGAGATAAATCTTAAATTTTTGTCCATTTTGATGCTACCTTTCACACCCAATGCCAATGTTTCCCAGGGGAGGAGCTTTTCTTTTCTAAAAGGGGGCCCCCGAGGGACTGTGCTGTAGCTGGGGTTGTCAGCTGGTCGATGCCTCTGTGTTTGCATCGGTGGAGACCTGTGGCTTCATAGAGGCTATTAATTCCAGAGGATTTATCAATTAGGCTTTGTGCTTCTACTGGAGAAGCGTCCTCCTCTGTCTCTTGTTTTGCTGATTCCCAGTGGGTCGCTGCCTCTTTTGTGGAAACGGCCCAAGTTTGTTGAATGAGAGAGAAAAGTAGAGGAAATGTTAATTAAAAGCTCCTCGTTTTCTTTTCCAAGGCTTGTTTCCCGTTTGCTGTGTTTTGTTTTCGTCCAATTGTGTCTCTTTTACTCTCATCATGTCCTCTCCTATGTAAGCCTCACTTCCTCTTTAAAATTGCTCTGAAAGCCATTTATCATCAAGTCCAAGTTTACCTCCTGCTCCACTGCAGTCTAATGGAGCGTGAAGATGTCACCAAGACGCCTATGCTCTCCCTCTGCTGTGGAGGTCGGCGTTTCATCTGGTATTATGAGCGCCTGATGAGACCTGACAGCGGCCTGCCAAACAGCTGAGTAAGGGGAACCGGGGGTCTGGGTTCAGGAAACAGGGGACAGGAGCCGGGCTGATGTTAGGTCTCATGGTTGCAGTATGGTGAATGTTTAACAGACCTTTATTCAGAGCTTCGCCTATTTTATTTTTTGACTCTTATTTTTTTTAGAATCTTTCTGATATTGCGGCTGGTTTATTTTGAATGTGAATAGAGACACATCCTGCAGTCTTTTCAGGTTCTGACCAGACAGAAGCTCCTGAGGTGAATAAATAAATTAATCAACAGCTTAATTTCAGACAACCCAATCAACCTAACACATACAAAGATTATGAATAATTAATTATACCCTTCTACCCTTTCTCCTTCCTACAGTGCTTAACACCAGCAATCTTCCCAGATTCTCTACTTCCAAATTCCAATGTCCAAATAATACAAACTTTGTCTTAAAGCAATTCTAAATGTCCAGCCAAGCAATTTTTTCCAAAAGCAGAACTTGAAAACAATTGAATGGAAGATCCAACCAAATAATAACTAATTTCTTCATATAATTTGCAACTTCCTCTATTTTCTTTGCTTATAGGGATTTTATTTAATGAGCTGTAGATGTCTGTTCTCTAATTATCCAGTTCTATTAATGAGCTTAGGACTCTATGATATCCCTGGTATCATAGGTTTGTTTCCCCTGAATCAGGTAATAAAACAATACAAAGAAAATGCAGAATAAATCTTCTTGCTTTTTAAGAGCTACAAGCTCTCCTTTGTAAACCCTTCTCTGGTCTTTTCCTCTGTGATTCCAAAGGCCATGGAGGTGGAGAGAGCCATGACCAGTGAGCTGCAGGCGCTGAAACAGGAGCTCCAGCAGAGCAGAGGAAACAACAGACAGCAGGATGAGGAGCTGATCAGCGCCATGAAGGAGCAGGTGGATGCAGATAAATTTCTGACTCATTCCAATAACAGGATTAAAGTGTTTTGTAGTCAAGCAGACAGGGAGCAAAAAAATAGCATGAAATCTGTCGATATTGTAGAGCTATTTCCCTCCTCTGTGTCATTGGACAACAGAAAGCTCAGGGAAAACTAATACAATTAGAAGAGCAGCTAATGCAGAATAAATCGTAGGAATTTAAATAAAGCTAGGACAGAAAATAAAAGGGCAAACATGGATTCATTGGATTCGCAACTTTGGATTTACTTTAAGCTTTTTTTTATCATCTTCAATCAGAATCAAATATGTACAAACATCCATTCTGATACATGGATAAGAGCCTCTAGGTCAGCTCAGATAAAGGTTTATTCTTGTTTGTTTGAGTTTAGGTTCTTAGATCAGGTTGAAATATCTAAATGTGTCCAGGTTTCAACCATGTAGCCATTGACTGAAAAAAAAGTTGTTAAATTTGGAGATAGATACTCTTTTACTACTTAGCCAATCACACCATCAGTGTGATGCTACCACCTCAGTGCCCCACAATTAGTCAAATTGCTCCAGCTGCAAATTTGAGTCTAGAGTGAGAGATGTGGGTGGCTGTTCTTTAATGTTTTTACAAATTGCATAAAGCTTAGGATGACTTTTGGGTCATATGGCTGCAACCTGCAGAAAGCTGGTTAACCCGCCATGAAAATGTTCCTCAGCCTAGAAAAGTTGTGGATGAGGACTAATAGGACTGCTCAGACATGCCATTTTAATCCCAAAATTATTAAAACATTGATATGATTGTATCATATACTGTGTATATACATCTTGGACACCATTGTAATCACTCCTCAGGTTCATTTATAGGTAATTTTTAAGCCTCCAACTTCTTCCTCCTATTTTATTTTGTTCCTCGCTGCTTTTTTTTTTTTTATCAAAACAATTATATTTCCCTTGTTTCTGAAGCAAGAATGTTTCCACTTTACTTTATTTTCAGTCCTTCAGTCTGTGGTAGCAGATGAGACGATAACATACAGTGTTTTTGTAAATTTTTCCTTCAGGTGTTGAGGCTCACACAGAAGGAGCAGGCGCTGGAGCAACGATTGGAGAGCGTCAGTCGAGAAAACGCTGAGCTGAAAGCGAGTTTGGCCTCTTTACAAACGTGCTTAACCCAGCATGACCAACTCAACCAGCAGCACAGCCAGCAGGTATACAAACAGAGACACATGCCGATACCTAAACCCTTCAAACACAGCAAGCATATCCCCCACCCTTTCCTTACAGCTATGAAAACCCTCCATTTAGGGGATGTCATATAGGTAAACGATGTTGGTAGATAAATAAAAGCCTTAGTTTTAAAGCAATGCTCTACATTCTACCAAGCCACCAGGGTTTCAGTGGGATTGTTAAAAGAATTGCAAAACAATCTCCTCATCCCTGCTATTGTAGCTTCTACCCAAAAAGCTGGATTCCTGACTTGCTCGCTTGGTTTCATGTTGGGCTCAAGGCTGGAATCTGGCCGATCAGGATTTCTTGTTAAATAAAAGTCACTTGAAAACTGAACAGCTCCAATTCAAAAAACTGACCTATTAGAATAGAATACAAAATGCATTTATTTTCCCACAATGGGCAAATTGTGTCGTTTACAGCATTAAAAGGTTATAGTGGAAGTGGTCACACAAAATGCATCTTAGAAAAGTGTATATAAATAACAGATAGGAACATAAAACAAATAGAGCATTGTACTGTACAGTGTTTTAATACTCTTTATCTGGAGAATAAAAAAAATCAATAACAGCTGTGGACATTTTTTACAGCAATGGATATGAGAAGAAAAGCCACAAAACCAGAAAAGTGCGAAAAAATGAAATGACAGTAACATGTTATTTATCTGACTAAGTTAGAAACTGTGCAAAAAGAATAAATGTAAACACTTATTGTGGTTGTTGGGAACAGTGGTGGTTATAGGGTCTTAGAGCTGCTAGGAGGAAGGATCTGTGATAACGCTCCCTGATGCATTTAGGGTGCAGCAGTCTGTCAGCGAAGGAGCTTTCCAGTTCAGCACCAGCTTCATGCATGGGGTGGTAGACATTATCCAACAGAGATGGTAATTTAGTTAGGATCATTTTGTTTCCCACCTCCTGCACTGAGACCAGAGGGGATCTGGACTCTGAGAGCAAATGTGATTTTTATTTTTTATTATTCATGTTTTCCAAAAACATTGTTGGAATCATGCATTCCTCTTTTTCTTTTAAGCTCCGAGATGCATGGCAGGAGGTGGAGGTGGCACGGGACCGTTCACAGCAGCTCCAAGCTCAGGTGGAGGAGCTTCAGGAGGAGGTGTCGCTGCAGGAGAGCAGGAGCCACATTGATGCCTCTCTATTGTCAGAGCTGGAAGCGGCAGACTGGGGGGTCAGCAAAGAACAGGTACAGTAGCTCATATTTGAACAACTACAAAAAATAAATGTCTTAAAAAAAAAGGTCCTTTAAATTGATTTCCCTTTTACAACTGAAAATCCTTTTATAATTGCCTTAATGAGGTTAGTTTAGGGAATGCTGGCAATATTATTAGACAATACATTAAATGCTATTTGGGGCATAAAACTGCTTAAAATAATCGATTTTAAATAGATAATCTTTGAATGATTGTCTCCACAAAAAGATTCTGCGTCTGTTGGTTTATCATTTAAATGTTTTAACATAAAATGAAACATCCCAAATTTTTTTCCATAGAATGATCTTTCTCCACCAGCTCATGTTACATCACTATAATCATACCAAAGGTTTATCAATGTGAAAAAATAATTTAAGAAGGACAGAAAGCTATAGCAGCTAATACACTCACTCTCTTAACCAAAAAAAAACTTTTTTAGAGCATGAAAACATCATTCTTTAGATGAAAACTAAAGAACCTATAGCCCTGCAGAGATCACCAGCATCTTTTTGCAGAAGTAACATTAAAAAACGCTGTTGGCGTTTTCAATAAACAACCCAGAAGCATGACAGAGAGATTGTGACCTGAAGTATCACATTAGGTTTGTTTGAAGGTAATACAATATTATACAATTAGCCTACTGAGAAACTGTTGACTTTTGAACAGCACATGACAGCCTGTATACTCAAGTGAACCTATCCAGTGAGACTTTTCCTTGAAGTAAAACAGTCTCTCTTTAATCACTACAGTAAACACAATTGTCCTGGACAGCGAGGCTTTAAATCTGGTCAAATGCTGAGCTAAAGAGACACCAGTATTTTTGTTTAGGCTGACTTTACTGTATTTGCACTTGGAGCCCAGCAAGTGGGTGTTTCTGTAGTATTCCTGCCCGAAGTGCGTCATGTGTGTTTTCAGTAAAAACTCTCCAAAAGTACCACCAAGAATAAAAATCTATTTCCTAAAAATCCTTTGCTGTGAGATCTTGGAGAAAAAAAAAGTCAATATGGGCCTGTTTTGGATATCAACCTATGTGTTGTAGCTAATAAAGAAAAAGTAGCTGTCTTTTGCAGAAAAGGGTAATATGACAAGTTCTACATGACAGTGTGACTTTTCTGACACCATCCAAAGGTGTAAATGTCTTTATGTGTGGATAGATGTTAAATGAAAGGGGATGAGGTTGATGAGTCCTCACACTCATGCCAAAGTACATCTGAGCAGGATCATGTGATATGTAACCAGGCTTCTGCGTCATCCACTTTGTATCCTGTCTCTTATTTTCCATTGTGTAAATATTTTTACGTTTTTCATTCTTCATATTCCTAACATATTAAAGAAGATGGTCTTGGGCTTTTAGGTTCAGGTTTATGAGCTGAGAAAACAGATTAAACATTTTATTTTTGGCCAGTTTTAATGACTCCTCTTATAAAGATGGACTCCTTATTCTTATAACAATATTCAGTCATCTGACCAGCTTAGCTAAAATTAGGTCTCGGTAATATGTCTTACCTCCCCTTGTGTAAATATTGAATGTCATTCAAGTGTTGAGAATACAGTGTGTTGCAGAGAGAAAGGAAACAGAACAAAAGACAATTACTGATTTGCCTCTCATTATGCATCTTTTATAGATTTCCTTTTGATAACTTCATATATGTTTGCTTTCCACAAGCTGGACCAGATTTTTTTCAACAGGTACCAATTGATCTAACATGTAGTGATAAAAGATTCATATGTTTTTGTCTCCAGATAACTCAAGAAATGGACACCATCCTCCAGTTATTGCTCCCTCTGACCCGGGGTCAAAGCGAATCGAACGTCATGGATCAACAGGATGACCTACCTGCCATTCTGCAGCGACTGAAGGGAGTGGCCCAAACTCTGTCACCTGCATCCAGTCCCCAGGTGAGGGCCAGGACAGGGAAACAGCAATGAACGGCTGCATTGTTGGTTCAAATCCAAAGAGGAAAGGATGAGCTCAATGCATTCTTTTAAACCTTGTCTAAGCTCTGATAAGCATATAATGACAGCACACGCAAAGAAGGAGCTCTTTTGTGACTAAATCATGCAAGCTGCAGTTTATGAGTAAACAAGCTTTTCCTGAAACTCAGGTTTATTTGTTTGCTTTGCTGTTTTTTTTAGCACTAGATTACACATTTTGTTTTTTAGGCATACACAATACCTCAATATGACTATATAAAGCAAATGTTCTGCTCTAAAAGGTCTACCCTTAGGGAAAATAACCACAAATTAGTCCTCTATTATCCCGGTTATTTACTCTTCCTCTCGGCTGCGCCAATCAAAGGCATTTAGATGGCCCCTTTGTATCATAATGAAAAAAATATTATATAGTGCAAAAAAATGTATTTTTCAATCAGATAAAGTTATGGGGATCATATTTCTCAAACCTCTTCCACATATATTTAAAAGTCTCTAATGAATTTGATGCACAAAATTTTGTGCAGTGGTGGCTGGTGGATTTTTCTCCAGTGGGGACTGTCACTTCAAAATAGACCTGAATTAGCTGATAGCACAGTAAGGGCATCTATAATCCTAAAGCCACATTCTCTGTATCCATCCCCAACAGGATGAGCTCAGATTTTTAAGATTTGCAGCTTTCCTTAAGTCAAATATTCATCTAAATTCACATCATACTTCTTTAGACACAAAGCTTGACAGCTTGAAAGGACAAAGCAGAGAAACTTCTCCAACTCCCTGTTTTATACCGAGTGTTGTTCTCATGCTGAATTAAAGTCTCAACGTGTCCTAGGCTATAAAACCCCCTTGTTGTTCCATATGCTTATGATGATAAATACACATTTCTGATACTAATCTTGATGCCTCACAGATGCAAAACGCTGAGTTTTGCTGTTGCCCCTTTCTGGTAGGACTTATGTGCAATTTATTCACAGGTCAGGGATAGAAAATCTGGTTTCATTTAATTTTTTTCTGACTGGCTGGTCATCGATCAAAGCCATTTTCTCACTGCATCTCTAGTTTTGATTAGCCTATTGAATAGCCTCCGATATCAATACTGTTCATAAAACAATCCCGACCAGTAGAATAAACTAATTATTCAAACTTTTGGTTTTAAAATGTATATTTCCTGATAGATCTTTTGCTTTTTGTACAATTCAATTAATGCCAGAAGAGGCAGTTGTAGGGTTCATCATGGCTCAGTTCTCAGCCCTAATGTCTTCTTACTTAATATTTCGGGAATTGATCATTCTTCATTGAAAATCCTCAAATTGCAATCCTTAGGCTAAGGATATTAAGTTTTATTTTATTTTTTTTATTTTGTCAATTTTTGACTAACTGACTGCCTAGATAAAATCAATAAGTGACTTTTGTATTTATTGTTTTCTTCCCATCTTTTTTAGTTAGTTTTTTATGTAAAGCTCTTTGAGTTTCTTATTTGTGAAAGATGATTTATAAAAATATGAATTAATTTAACTTGTTTACTGATTATTGAAAGCAGACGTCTAATATGATCTGGTAGCGGGTTCTTTTTGCCTTTAGAATGCAAATCCAATCATCCACCTGAGTCTCACTGCTTTTGTTCCTCATTCATTTATCACTGTAACTAAATAACCAGCCACACCTATGTTTTTTTGACTGTAAAGACCAAAACCACAGAAACCCCCTTCTGTTGTGCAAGTGTGTCTGAAACCTGACCTCCCTGCTAATGTCTCTGTCTGTGCAGGAGGTGAATCTGGGCTTTGAGGACAGGGTGGCCGATCACTGTGGGAATCTGAGCACAGCACAGGAGCTGAGGGATCAGGTAACCACTGATGGATAAGGAGGGGCATTGCCTGTGGCGGGCCATTGTATCAGAGCTAGACTGCAGCAGCAGTTGTACTGTTTGCCCGCTGTTCTTGTGTTGTATCGAGGGTTTTGTGATTAAAAAGCTTTTTTGTTCTGACCTTAATGTGAAAGTTATTTTCTAACATCCTAAAGTTTCTAACTTTAATGTAAACAAACCACAGAAGCATCAAATCAGTCTAAGTTTACTCATCTTTTGGCTACGGTAATTAGATTTTTAACTGCTGTTAAAATCTAAATAGATATATTATGCAAAAAGTTAATAATAAAAATTCTGTGTTAAAATGTCTTTATTCCAATAGATTGTTTTTTTTATTTATTTATGTCTTACCCTTCAATGATTATTTATTTTTTTTCCTCTCTCTAAAGAACATCCGGCTCCAGCAGGAGAATAGCGAGCTACTACAGAAGCTGCAGAGCATACAGGATCAAAAGGACTTCGTCCAGCAGGCCATCAGAGATCGGGATGAAGCTATTGCCAAGTACATAACTCATCTTTTTGAACTACTTAGTCTGGTTGTTTTCAAGTCTCATTAAGGAGACTGAAAAACAACACATATTTTTGCAGCTTGTTGCTAAAACACAGAACTGCAGCACTGCTGCTCGTTATCGTAGCTTGCGCTTATACTGTACTTGACAATTAAAAAAATATTTGTTTTTACTTTCATCACCTTACGTGGAGTTGCAATTAGTGTTGAGCTGCATGCCGGTCATTTCTGAGTATCTAGAAAATCCATTTTGAATACCACACTTCAATTGTTTGTTAGGTTGGACACATTTAGCACGGACGCACTTGGCGTCACATCCGCCGAACAGTGCAGGAACTTCTAACTAGAAGTAAATGAAAGAAAATAGGCTGCAGGCTTATAGATGCATCGGCGCTGAACTGCTGAGGTGTCAGTCTGCTCATCAAACAATGTTTAAGTCGTAAAGGGTCAAATAAAAACACTATTTTAAAGATATTTTTCAGTAAAAACTTACAAACTTATTTCTTTCTCTGTATAAATCTATGTTATCTGTGTAGGCCTAAGTGTTTTGATTGTTAAAATTAGCTGTTAGCGGCATAAAAACCTTGAAAAAAAGGAAAAGAAATGTCCCTTAATAGTACTACTGGGAAATATGTTCCCTGCCTTTGTTGAACCATTTCTCAGGGAGCAGGGAGCTTCCACAATTAGCAGCACCTGGGAAGCATTTTAAATATCAGTGACAAGTTTCAAACCAGCGGTCCTGTAGCCTCTCCAGGATGGAAATGCCCCACTCTCTAACCACCAGGCCACCACAGTTAGGTTATTGAACAATAGCTATGAATATCTCACAGCGCTTTCTGTAGAAAATAGAAAGAGTGCAACAACTACAAAATCACCAAGCTAAACTGACCTGTTTGTTGATTGTGCATTTGTGCATAGCACTGAGGTATGTATTATTAATTTCCCTCTGAGATAATTGATGACCACACTCCAGTCGAGTAGGTGGCAGAAAACGCACCTTAAGTTGGTTGCCATCCGGCAATAAAAAGTAAAAGAAGACCTGTTTGGCAATGTGTTCGTTAATGAGAGTAGTAGCCAAGACAAACAGGCTATGAGACCTGAATATAAATGCATATCTTGATAATCAAAATATTGCTTGTAAAATTCTTATGGAATAAAAAAAAACAATTTTATCCTTCCACTTAAAATTTTTTTTCAAAACTTTTACATAAAATTTCTATCAAATTCAATTATTTTTGTGTTTTGAATGTTAAAAACGGCGGCAGATTTTTGAAGACGTGTAGATTGTTAAAGATTGTACTGTACATGTAGTTTAGAAAAGATAAGTTCTTTTTTATAGATCTAGGTGTGTTCAATCTAATCCTGATTAACTGAACATTTTGCAATTTCTCAACAGGAAAAACATGATGGAGGCTGAATTGGTGCGAAGCAAAAACGACATGATGTGTTTGAACAACCAATTATTAGAAGCTATTCAACGTAAACTGGAGTTGTCTCAGGAGCTGGAGGCCTGGCAGGTGAGCTCATTTTCAGGCTGCAGTTAATCTTCTGTTTTTAGTCTTTCTGATGTCACTTCAGCTCCATAAGATTCTCAAACATAGATGATAAAATTGGCTGTATTTTTTAAACAACGGCGTGAATCACAGTGGATCGTCACTAAGTTACAAGCAGATTGGGTGGACATGAGCAGCAGATGTCCGCGGCTGCTGAGTGACGATGCCAAGCCGAACCATCTGCTGCCTAGTCTGAGCGTCTGAGCATTGATGGAAACAATGCAGATCAAAACGCTGATTGAATTTTCTGTGATTACATTTCCTTATTTGTATTCAAAGATTAAAGTTAATCCCATTTTCATATTATTAGCACAATACAGAAACTTGAAAGCAACTTTTCAAGTAGAGAAGCTTATCTGTTTACAGCTAAAAGGTTTGCTGTTAAAACCCTTTTTGAAACTAAGATGTAAATGGATAAAAAAATAATTTCCTAAAAATCATTAAATGGATCATGGATATATTTTTAACATATAAGGAATTAGAAATAAACAAAAAAAACTAAAGTCTCAGTGGGACTGAGATGTTTGGCGTTACTGTCATTTAGTCAAAGATATTTTTCTTTAAAAATGCTTTAATAAACATATCTTACATATTTTGAACTAGACTAAATCCAAAATCAGAAGTTTATTCTGTTTTTTCATGCAGCTAAAGCTTGCAAATTACTCGTTTTAATGGTAAAGTGAACTTTTCAAATATTTTTAACTAGTTATATATTTTTTTATTTATATTTAAACCCTTTTTTAACATCTTTTGATGCTTTAAGAAACCAGAAACTGTTAGTTTATTAGTTCAATGAACTACAAACACTGGCAGACGTGTTGAAAAACAGGCAATAGAACACGGGGAAAAGAATTTTTCCAACTTTACTCATGATCTAATTAGATGTAGGCAAGTAAAACACGGTTAAAACTGTCTAATTTTTTCAGGAATAAAAGGGCTGCATAATTTAAAAGTACAGTGATTACCTTACTCTTCCCATAAAACCCCCACAAAAATCATATATTCAACTTTAAATAAAACAATATGGGTCAATATTTTATTACAATTCTGTTTTCTTAGTCCTTTTTAGAGGCTGAAAAAATGTTGCACTGGGCATGATCAGCAGGGATAAACATGCGCCATCTGCTGGCAGCTTTTACTCAAGGAAAAATCAATTTTTGCAGCAAAATCTGATTGCTCCCACAGCCTTAGCTCCCACTTCAGTAAAAACAAATGTTCATATTGTATTATAATCACTACTTTGGTCTAATTCCTCTTGGTAATAAATATTTTTTGTGCTTTTTCACACTTCATCTTAAACTTTTCCTCCTTTCTTTCGAACCTCCGTTACAAGTAGCTGCCTTGCTTGGTTTCATAACTGTTGTTTAGTCATTGTGTGCATGTGCGATATTTTATCCCTGGTCATGCACCTTGTTATGATAAATATACACAAAGCTCTTAATTTACTAACAAATAATGTTAAAACAAAGAAATAAATTATGATATGCTAACAAGGCACCATAATTTCATCGGGAAATCTTTTCATTCAATTAGAGAGAGCTTGTGGTGCAGAAATGTTGGAAGTTATAGTTACTAGACCCCTTCAAGCAAAGTAACTCATATTTAACTAGAAGGCACACAAGCATAAAGATTGTGCACTTTCTTCAGTTTTGCTTTCATAGTAACATCAACATAAATCATAAATAGGAGTCATTCAACTCATTCATTCATACCTTTATGTTCCAGTGAACCTTTGTTTAGTTGACCTAAAATTTTGTGTAAACATAAAAATAAATGTCACCATCTAAATTTAGTGCAAGACATCTTAAAGAAGTCCAGATATAGACCTGCTTAGCTAAGACTGGGACAGTCTTAGCTGAGCCTTCTGACAGGATAGCAAACTTTTCAGGCTATAGTCCATAAGTATAAACCCTTTCAACACACATTATTCCTTTTTTATTATTATTATTAATGCAGTGACATAATTATACTTTCCCAGGAACCCATAATTATGCTGCTTCTTTTCTCTGCATGGTCCAGATTGGAAATTACAATTCTCGCTGCACAACTGATTACTGGTTTGGCAACAAGCTAAACTTGTTTTATTATAAACAAAGGGAGGGCTTTAATCTTAGTGCAATCTCTGCAACCAATTTTTCTATTCTATTCTTGACACAATACAGTCAGGAAAGTCCCTTACCGCCAAACCCAGGATTATCCACTGGGCTACCAAGTAGAGAAGCGTGATTCATCACTTTAGAGAACATGTCTGCACTTCTACAGAGTCCATTGATGCTGGGCTTCAAACCACTGGATCCAACTCTTTGCACTGAACTTTGCAATACAGCTGCATGGCTGTGGAAACCCATTCAATGGTTACATCTGTAGCTGCTGACACTGCAAAAAGTTGTCGACTTCATGCTCTGAACTTGGTGGTTTCATATATTTTTCCACTTCATGGCTAAGTTGCATTCATTCCCATAATTTCTACTATTTTATATTACCTAAAAACAATTATGGAATTATGGAATCCTTTTGTTAAGTGGCCATCCTATCAGTCTACAAGCTCAGTCATTGGATTTATTACACCTGTGGCCATGGAAGCAAATGAAACGGCTCAATTTCAATGGTACAATTATGTATATATGACACCTCCTGATGGCTCCCACAGTATTTTAAAGGGAGGCAATCGATAATTAGAAACTGCTGGTAAATTAGTTTTCCCTGGCAGTAAGAACATTAACATGTTGGCTGGAGTAGCACTGCTGTAGTTGCCAATACTTCACAATGCTGGTAGTCTTCCAGATGCTAAAGGTCTAATAAGGCGTTGAAAGCATTGTGTTTTTGAATCATATCCCACTCAGCCATCAAGCTCAGTCTCTCCCCTTCCTTTCTCTCCCTCAGGATGACATCCAGATCGTCATCAACCAACAGCTGAAGTCGCAGCAGCAGACAGAGGAGCTCCAGAAGAAGCCCACCTCCAACGGCCTGTCGTTTTTCCGACGACCCAGCAGGACGACCTCCACCTGGACACGCCAGCTCTCCTCTTCTTCCTCTTGGATTTCAGAAAGTAATCCGGACAAAGTGCAGTCCCCCTGGAGAGACTGGCTAAGACTGGGGAAAGGGGCACAGTATGGAAAGTAATGAAGTGCAGAGGATCAGAGACTGCTGGTCAGGGAAACATGAAGTAAAAAAAAAAAAAAAAACTGAGCAGTAATGAAAAAAGAGCCATGAAGTCGACTCCAAGAGATGAAGGACATGAACAAAGACTTTTTGAAGAGACACTTTTTTACTGCAGCACATTTCAGTAAAGGCTGAGCCTTCTTGGGTCTAAACTGTGACGAGGTGGAAAGGATTGCAGAGACCTGCTTAAAGACTGTGAATACTGTCTCTTATTTTGTTTATTATACTAAGACAGTATAATAATTACATGATACTTAGAATTCAGTGCAAAGTATTCCTTTAGGTTATTCAACTTGACGATCAAACAGATTTCAGCGTCACTGAATTTATTTCCACTAAGTTGGATGTAAAGTTTGTGTTCATTATTTTAGTTTTGCTCAAGTTATTTGTTAACACAATGTACAGTAATGTATTTTTTTTTTTTATATAATTTACACTTTGTTTTCTAGTTAAAAGCCTTTCCTGAATTTGTACTTGGCATGCGTTATGCTGTATGTAACCTCAATCCACTCAGTTATAAACTGCTTTTTTTTCCTAGCATTTCTGACTGTTTCCTCATCACATTTACATTGCAAAGAATGCAAAGAGATACAATTTTTTTATCTTAAATTGTGGGGGAAAAAACAAAAAACAAGAAGTCAGTATTGAGGTATCAACTTTCAAAAAACTAATACTTTTAGTTTAATATTTCCAAGCAGAATATTATAAACATTTATTACTTTTTTTATGCAAGAAAACAGTTCAGTCTAATTTAGTGGCTTTTCTCTGGATGGACAGGCCTCCTGTAGTATTTGCTTAAAAGTTGCTCAGTAAGTTTCAAGAAAACCACAGATGCTTTGTAGCAATCAATGGCTCTTGGAAAATTCTGCATAATTTACCCCTTTTGTTATCAAAATTGGAAAAGTTTTTTTAACTGATTGACTTCATGTCAGTGAAGTACTGAAGTTCATACAGTTTCAACAGTAGCTGAGGGCCATCGACAAAATCCAGTCAGATGTGGGTTTTGGTTCATTGCTCTGTTGGGGATCCAATTGTACTTGCGCAAATAATCCACTTAGCTGTTCTGTACTAAGAAAGGGCATTATGCTGTCAACACCATGCATGGCAGTACTTTTAATTTTTTTTTTCTTCCATTTTGGCCAAGTAAGACTGTTAGTCTGCAGAAGATATTTGACTTCTCTGTGCAGACAGCTGAAATTTTAAACTGAGCTGAATTCAGTTTTGCATGAATTGTTTCTTTGTTATAGGAAGTTCAGCCAATTTGGAAGCTAAACTCTCCTTACTGCTAACTTCTACTTTGTGTTAGGTTGGAATCTTGGTGGTTCCTGAACTTTTTCTGATTTCCTTTTATCTAAAGGAAATCGTTTGGGCTTGATTGTTGAAACCATGATGTAGTCTTTGTTAACCAAACAGAACAAAGATCCCAGCCATGCATCAAAACTGGGTTTAAAACAGATAAAATAGGCTAACATTAAATATACATCTAAAAAAGGAGCAATTTCAACGTTTCAAAAAATTTTACTGGAGCATTAAGGGATCATCCCATCATTTTTCCTGCCAAACATGTAGGCCTGTGGGGCTGGCCGTTTGATGCAGGTTTACTGCATCTGGTCAGGTCTATATTCAACAATCTTTGTCCAAAGAATGAGGTTATCTAACTGCATAAATGTACTGAATTGCCAGACTTCCATCAGTGAATTTTTTTTCCTTCCTGCTCTCATGGGAATATTCCAACAGCAGTCAGATTTTATAGGATTAAAATTATTCTAGAGTGGTTCAAGAGGCAGAGAAATTATTTTCATACATGGGCCTTTTGCTGATTATGAACACTTGGGATATTATGGAGAAGAGTTTGTACAGCAGTCCAACTAGCTAATTTCACTAAACTATCAGATCCATACAATATCTTTAATGAAAAGTTGGTGCTTCTAGGATAAATGCATTTCAAACAAATACTTGGGCCTGTGATTTTTATTTGGTCATGTCTAAAAACTAAAATTTATCCTAGGCAAAAAGAGACCATATTTACAAATCTTAGCTAAAATTTAAGGCTAAAAAGTTTATCACTAAATCACTAATCCATATCCCAGTGTTGAGCAGTGTTTCAAAAATCAAAACAAAAAGGTTGACAAATAAGCAACAGAAATGTGGGTCACAATCTACACTAAATAACTTGGCTGATAGCAGTGTTGACTCAGTAGCACAGGTAACACATTCCCTTTTATTGGACTCTGCTGAACACATAACGTAACGGAAAGCAGAGAATACATTCTAATTGATTTGCACCTCCTACCAAACTTAAGCTAAGGTTGAGTCAAGGCAATCAGGTTAATTCTGAACCATAAACCTGTTTGTGCAAATCTTTATTTTTGGTAGTCCTGACATCAGGCTTACTATCTCTATGTTTCTGGTATCAGACTCTCTGATAAGGTAACTAGCTCAAACAAACAGTGACTGTCCATTTTGGGTTTCCAGTTTTGTTTTGTCTCCAAGGTGGTGTGATTCATTTATTACAACTGCCACCACTTGGCTGTAAATGTCCCAAATAGAGGGCAAGGAGAAACCACGCCTAACTGTGAAAACGAAAGTTACTACCGTAACTACGGTTCTATGAATCCCGGATGACCGCCAGAGGCGGTGCTTCAAGCACTGAATGATCATTCTTGCGCATGCGCAGGTCGAGTATTAATGACAACAAAGTCAGCTGTGACCTGCCGGGGACCCACGTGACTCTATATAGTCACGTGGCACCCGGCAATCAATCCCTCAATCTTCTCGCGAAAGCAGAGATTCCGAGGGACCAAGCACTCTGGCGGTCATCCGGGATTCATAGAACCGTAGTTACGGTAGTAACTTTCGTTCTATTTCATCCCTACTGACCGCCAGAGGCGGTGCTTCAAGCACTGGATGACTCATATCAACAAGGTCACGAGGAATCAGCAACATTCAAGGAACAACGACTACACCACCCACCTAATGTGATGTAGAGGCATGCTGCTCGAGGATTCCCTGAAGCGGATGGGGCGCAGCCACATTCACCCTGTAGAACCGAGTAAAGGTACTAGGTGACTTCCAGGAGGCCGCACGACATATAACATCCAATGGCACCCCAGTCATAGCAGCAAACGATGTCGACATGCCCCTTGTAGAGTGGCATTTCACTCCCGCCGGCAGTGGCCGGTCCTGCAAGGCATAAGCCTTGGAGATCAAATCCACAACCCAGTGTGCAAGTCGCTGCTTAGAAAGTGCCTGACCTTTCCGTGAGCCAGCGTAGCAAACAAAAAGGCTATTTGTCTTTCGGAAGGATGACGTGGAATTGATGTATGTCTCAAGGGCACGGACAGGACACAGTGGTTCAGAGGGACTTCCGGAGTCAAACCGGGCAAGATGGAGAGGCTGGGTGCTGCCTGCTGGCAGTGATACCTTAGGAATAAATGCTACATCAGCCCACAGTGTAACGCCTGAGCCATCAGGATTCCACCGGCAGCAGGGTTCGGCTATTGAGAGAGCCTGTAACTCCCCTACACGTTTTGCGGAAACCATAGCTAAAAGGAACGCAGTCTTCAGTGAGAGCCATTTGAGGTCCGCCGACGCCAGGGGCTCAAATGGGAGGGACCGAAGAGCCTCAAGCACAAGAGAAAGGTCCCACGCCGGTGCCACAGGGCGGTTGGGTGGGTGCAAACGCCGAGCACCTCTTAAAAACAGTACAACATCCTTGTCTCGGCCCACAGAACAACCATTCAGCCCAACATGCCAACAGGAAATGGCAGCCACATACACCTTTAAGGTAGATGGGGACCGTCCTTGATCCAGCAATGCCTGCAGGAAGGTCAGTATGTCAGAAACTGAGCACTGCACCGGGTCCTGCCCTCTATCACGGCACCAGGTCGCAAAGACCGTCCACTTGTTAGCATAGACAGCTCGCGTGGACGGCGCCCATGCATTAGCCATTGTATGCCCTATGGACCCAGTGTATCTTGAGAAGGTGGACCCCGGCCTTGCAGGGGCCAAATCCAGAGCTGGAGCCGGTCCGGTTCGGGGTGCAAGATCTGACCCCCCATCTGGGAAAGAAGGTCTCTCCTGGAGGGGAGACGCATTGGCGAGCCGGAGCTGAGCTCGCACAGTAGAGGAAACCAAGTCCTCGCTGGCCAGTAGGGGGCCACCAGCAGGACCCTGTGCCCCTCCTGACGTACCCTGAGGAGAGTCTGAAAAAGTAGGCTGAATGGCGGAAAGGCATAAAGGAGGGTCCTGGGCCAGTCGTGTGCCAGAGCATCGTGGCCCAGAGGGCTGCTGTTGTCCAACGAGAACCAAAGGGGACAGTGAAATGCGTCCCTTGAGGCAAAGAGGTCCACGTCCGCCCTGCCAAAGACCTTCCAGATGCACTCCACCACCTCTTGGTGAAGCTTCCACTCCCCTGGAAGCGGCTTCTGACGGGATAGAAAATCTGCTGGCACGTTCTCCGGCCCTGGGATGTAGGCTGCTCTGAGGCTGGCTATGCGTGGAGCTGCCCAGGTCAGAAGCCGTTGAGTCAAGCACAACAGTTTCCTTGACCTCGTGCCCCCCTGGTGGTTGATGTGAAAGACCACTGTGGTGTTGTCTGACCTCACCAGCACGTGCTTCCCCCGCAAGCCTGGAAGAAAGCTCTGAAGAGCCAGAAGCACAGCCTGTAACTCCAGGACATTGATGTGTTCCCTGCCCTGCCGCTGGGACCATGTCCCCTGTGCCATTTGACCCCGCCAGGTTGCACCCCAGCCCGTGGAGGATGCATCTGTAAACACAACTTCCCGACGACACGGGAGGGAACCGAGCGGGACCCCTGTGGTCATAAACAACCTCACCCTCCATTGGGACAGAGACTGAAGACACTGAGGCCCCACCCGAAGTCTTCGGAGACGATGAGTGTTCCGTGTGGGATCCAGATTCAAGCTGTTCAACCACATCTGGAGGGGCCGCAATGACAGCAGCCCCAAGGGCACTACGGCGGACGCAGCTGTAAGCATGCCCAAGAGTCGAAGATACCGCACAAGAGGCAGCGCCATGCCGCGCCTGAATTCCGGGAGCACGC